AGAGAGTACCATCTCGGGTGTGATGAGGTGGCAGACCATAGTCGACAAGGTATCCCCTCCATCTGTCGCTGAACCATTCAGACAGGAGCCAGGTTCTGATTTTGTCCCAAATTTCGGGATCGTTATTGCTGATTGCCGCAACATCGGCTTCTAGTCGAGCAAAAGCTTCTGACCAAGACTCCTCTTCGGAACATCGTTGGCACCTCCGAAGTGCCACGAGGAAGGCAAAGGCTTTTTCGGTACCCACCAGATCACTCCCAAATAGCCGAAGTGCTCGAGATCGGGCGGCGTGCATGAAATGAAATTGGCATAACCGAATTGGAGTTCCCGGGAAGACCTCCTCAATGGCCTTTCGTTCAGCGTCATCACAATCAATCATGAAATGTAGTGGAAGGAAATCCTCCTCGTGAATGTATTCGGCGTTGATGAGGATTTGCTCTTCATTCTCATATTCGGAGACCACTGATGATTTGCCCTTGAGTAATGCTTTCGCTTCTTTCTTGATAGCCTTTCGGATAACGCTCAAGAATTCGGTGTAGGAATCGGTGTTGGCGTGATTCGAGACCATGACAGCTACTGGAGCATTGTCAGCTCCGAAACAACCCGAAACCCTTCAAACCACAGGACTCACCAGGGACCATATGACCATATTCATTTACTGTGGCTAGCAAGGTGACGGGACAGCGTATTGCATTCTTATTTCTCCAAGACGAATCAAGAAAGAGGCCCCGATCTGTGGCATGCCGAATTGCTGATTGCAATGCATGTTTCGGACTGATGATTGCAATGAACGAAGAGTCCGCTGGGAATGGCTGAGTGCCACCGAGTGCCAGGCCTTCAGGATATTCACAACTGACAGTCAGCTCATGAGGACAAGGAAACGCTGGCTACATACTGCAGGAAAGAGCTTGGATTGGCCTCATGTAAGATACTTATCGCCGCCAGTGGTAGCCGATCCAGCCTTTCCTGCCGCAGAGCCGTTCGGATGGCAGTTTGGAAGTCAGTGGTGGTAGGAAGACGCTCGGGATAATTTGCCTTGACCCATAGGACATAGGGGTGAATCTTGCAGAAGGAATTGTACCACCGAAGCCGAAGACGTGAATCAGTCGTTCCCACCAGAGTTGCAGCATCGTGTAGTAGGTTTCGGAGATGTGGCAAAATCCGAAGTAATGTCAACGGGTTCGGTTGACCGTGATATGCAGCTTTCGGGCGGACCAGACAACAGACCCCTTTTCGGATATTGCTGGGAGTCATTCGTATCTGAGAACATCAGCTTAGTGAAGATGAATCATCCTTAGGTGACCCACCTCAAGAAAAAGATCACACTTTAAACGTGCTCTTGAGGAATATCGTGCGCTGGCAGCAGTTGGAGGGTGAGCTTTGGCTGTTGTTTGTGTTTCATCCTTTGCTTTAGGCTCAACATGGTGGTGGACACTGTCCAAAGTTGGCTGGATCTGGGTACAGTTGCCACTGCATCGGAAGATCGACCGAAACACTGTCCGATTCGGGTATGACACGACAGCACTGTCGGAGACAAAGAAGAGGCCATGTCTTCCCCTGATGTCGGCGGGTAATAAACCAGGGGGATCCAACCATTCCACTTGCACACATTTGGATATATGCTGGGTCTCAATGAGGTAGTCCTGACGCTGATATATCAACGGTTGTAAATCTCCGAAACAGAACACTGACCAAAGAGTCAAACGCTTTCGGAATATGATGAAAAGCCACCTCGAATTGTTCATAGCGATCATCATCCACCAGGTCAGGATTCGGTAAACGACAGAAGGTTTCCAAAGCACGTATGTTGACCCCAAGACTAGCGTCCGTGCGAGGAGCTTTGAGTTCCAAGAGTGGAGCCTCAGGACGTGGTACGGAGTATGATTCGGAAGAGATATTGACAATTCGGAAGCGCCCGGCCGCCTCTTGCCTGGCAGTCATGATCTCATCTTCCACCGAGATAGGATTCAGAGGTTGAGAGGGAGACCATTTCGGAACAGCAGGAGACAATGAAGCTGAGGGGGAGGCCATGACAAGCTCTGTCCAGGGTGCCGAGTCGGGTGTCACAATACCAATACCGTTGGAGGATACAGGAGTATTTCCTGAGGCAACTCTCCTGTCAGTTGATACATAAGGGGGGTCCGAAAGTACCCACTGGGATCAGCCGTGGACAGAGGCATCTTGTGATTGGAAGATTGGGGGAGAACACTCTGTGGGCTTAGCTGCGAGGGTCCGGGAAACTGCTCTGAATTATTTACTGAGCATAAGCTTCAATAAACCAAAAGGAAAAGGGTCTGTCTTACAGGGCACCGAAACCGAAACTGACTGGATTTCCGAAGCTGCCTTGTAGATAGAAGAAGACTCAGTACGTTGGGAAGGACCGGCTACATAGTCAGTAAGGAGTAATACAAGTTTCGGGGAAGAAACTGACATGTTGATGGTGTTTGTGCACTAGGAGCATAAACTTTCGGAGGTCGACCACGAAAAGGCGACTTTCTCTTTAAAGCGTTCAGAATGAGTTGATCAGCTTGATTATTCTGAGACATAAAGCTTGTAATATTGGGTGAGTAAGTCACTGTTGTGTTTAGATTGAGAGAGAGAGATGAAATAAATGATTGTGCCCCAACACCGCCAAACAGTGCCTAGGGTTGAAGGAGACATCCTTTCGGGGGCGTTTCCGAATTTGAACTCCAAATGGCTATAGAGAACCAAGGACTCCGAATTTGGAGGTTCTGCCTGCATGAATGGCTTCAGAATACGTGTGGCAACACATAGATATGCAGGAAGCCACGGTAGGATGCATATTCGATACAGGGGGGATTTGGGGACATTCCGTAGGTATTTGGGTCAGTAGTGGAGGGATCCTCGGGTTGAGTGACGTATTTTGGGAGAAAGTGGCAAAATTTCGTCGGGATTAATTCGAGTTCCGTCGGGATTATCCCTACGCGCGTCGAGTGGGGGAGAGTTTTTCGAGGATGGATAGTTCCACTTCCGTCGGAAGCATTAGTACGTCATAGTAGAACGACGTTAGGAGAAGAGTCACTTGGATCACTCGGATGCCGTAGAGTAGAAACTATGTCAACTACTTACCTATAACTTACACTACGGGTCACCTCCTACTATACTTGCTGTCTATAAACCGCTCAACCATTACTTACTACAAGTACACTATTACCTCGCCACGATCCCCGCTCGCGATGATAGTTTGTAACCTCTGCGGTAACGCCGTCAGTCTGCTCAACGCTCCGTGTCCCAAATGTAGTGGTCGAGGCATCGGTGAGTCAGGCTTCTTACTTGAAACTTGCCATTGCTCATTCTATCAGAACATGCTTCCGTGATCAAACGTGTTCTAACTCCAACTCAGCAAGCTGGTAGTCCAGATCGTTGGGCTCAGAAGTGAGAGCATCTCGTCTTGAAGGTCTCCTAGCTCATACCCTAGATACACGACTACTCCCTCACCATCACGCGACCTAACAGTACCTGACGTCCCACTCGTTCCTTCGGCGAGTATTCAATCCCGACCCAACCTCCGGCAAACACATGCCAACAGTCCCTTGCGTAACCATAGTACTATTGACATCTCTTTAGATGTTCACGACAGTCAATTGGCTAGAGGTGAGTCTTGGGGTCTCAGCGCAGAGCTGATAGTGAAGTGTACGGGTCGGTGTTAGATCCTCGAGTACAACATCCAGAGTGTAAAGCCTGTTCTTGTCAGATCAAAGCGGGAAATAAGCTTTACTTAGCACCGTGGGTCGTTCTCAAAGTCAAAGTTTTGGCAACTAAGAAGCTAGGAGATTGATTTCGGGGATCAATCAAGGTGATGTCTTATGCAGAGGATGTTATTCTACCCGGTTTGCGTTAGGTACCTGCGTAACGTGTCAGCAGGTGATTCTGGGTGATAAGGAAGAGGGTAGTGGGGGTGGACACGTCAAAGATGGTGCTGGACATCTTTGGCATGGAAATTGTTTTAAATGTACCAGTGAGTTGAAGACTATCGGAGTGTCTCGACTGATATCTCAGGATGTTCGGGACCATTATACGATCGGGATCATGTCCTTCTACCCATGCTGTCGCCATGTTGTATCGAATGTTTTGATCAGCAAATATCTACCCCCGAAAAGTCAAGCAAAACTACCGGTAGCGAGATACCACACCCCGGTGGTCGATATGCTAGACCTGGGACAGTCCTGGCTCCCAAGAAGATGGTACCTCAAGCACCTATTACCTCTTTGAATCCTGAGCGCACACCGCAGCAAAAGTCGCTAGTGGCTTCGATAATGCGACGGTTTGAAGACCCCGATACTTCTTCCGGCGAAGGAACCACCAAACCTCATCAAACCCCGCTGCCACACACTGATGTCTATACCCGCAATGCCCATTCGTCTCCGTCAATCACCTCTCAATCGCCGCTGCACTACATCTCCCGAGTACGATCCTCCTCTCCACCTCTAAAGGTCGAAAATGCAACATTTCTGTCACGTAACATGTCGAAACCTCCTAGACCCACTACTCAAGGGTTGACGGGGCACAGCAAATCCCCGGGAAGATCTCGGAGCATGTTATCTTGTCCTGGTTGTCTGTCCAGTGTCGCTTTGTTGGACCGAGGAGTTGTTCGTGGTCCACACGGACAGCTATGGCACCAGAACTGTCTCAAGTGTGGAAAGGGTGGTCTGGCCATGGGATTGCCTCTTCAGTCTCAGGGATGTGGTAAAGTCTTAGATGCGTCGGCGACGGTTGACAAAGAGGGAAATGTTTGGTGTCGGGCCTGCTCTGTGAGTCGTACCTAGTCGGACGATGTGATTGCTTATTGATGACAGCTTTTCCTTCAAATTCCCCCAAAGGCAAATACCATGACTGTCTCCTCTAAATCCTAGCAGCTCTTCTTAGGTAATCGGGAATGGTGCTTGAGAATCAGCTAGGATATACATACTGTATGTAAGAATGGGTTCCGGAGCATGACACGTTGATGCATAATGCCTATTATTTAGGTCATCGTAACGTTACGAAGTCGATCTGGGTGTCCCAGATACTCTCCGAGTTCTCTTGTGTTCAAGTACAACTCCATTATCGACCCCATCGCTGGTACGTTTTGATCGCTTAGAACGTGATTTGGCTACGGATATCGGTTTGACGTCTTGGATGATTTGATCGACCATAACGACATTTTTTGACTCGCAGAAGCCTAATTCGTCTGATACCGAGCACGACACCTCCGCCTTGACTTGAGATAGTTTGGATACCGGTCGGATGGGAGGTAAATCAGCAGCAAACATGACAGCTTGACACCATCCTCCTAATGGACCCCATCGATCAGCAAGGAAAAGTTGAATATCGTCATACATCTGTTTCGACATGGTTTTGTTACGTAGTCTTGATGGGAAAGAAGGATGTCTTGCCGCTATAGAAGCAACATGGGTATCTACAGGAATTAAAGATGGCTATCATAAGTTTTTTGAATTCCTCATAAAGATATTTACTTGATGAGAATCAAAAAAACTCACTTGATCTAAAGACATTAACATTACACAATCGGCAACTTTTCGTCCGACTCCTTTTAACGATATCAAACATTCCCCTATCACATCTAAATCCTTTTTCCTCAAATCAACCAAACCTTTCTCTATAGATCCTGGATTCGAACCGAATTGTTGACGTAATGACTTGATTGAACTTTCGATGAAACTAGCTCTATAACCGAATCCTAGTTGACGTAAATTCGTTTCGAAGGAATCTGGGAAATCCTCAGGAATTGGGAATGGGTGATATGTGATGGATGATGAACCTTCGAATTGTTCAATGGTGAATAAAGGTTTAGAATAATTTATACTTAATTTATGCATTAATGATGATATTCGAGTGATATGATTATTAGTTGAAGTTATGAATCTGAATCATTAAAATCAATCAGGTCTTTCTTCTTCTTTTTTTTTTTTTTTTTCAATACTACTCGTACTCGAGTAAACTTAGTCTTTCCCACGGATGTATCGAATGAATAGAGCCTTTCGAACAACCTTGACCTCCGGTTATCAAACAGGAAGGAAATGAAGGTACCAACATTTATCAAGAGTCAAAGCATAGGAATTTTCGTTCGAAATACCCGTGACAAAGAACACTGTGTAACAGTATGTATAGATTTGATTAGATGGACTTACGAAATTAAACATTCCCAAGGATCTTGTCTTAATACTCGTACTCCTATAGCTTTTTTATCAAACTCTATCTTCCCAAATAATTCAGTATCTCGATCTCTCCATTCTTTATATAAAAGAGAAAGGTCGGGATAGTTGACAAGTTGAAAATAATCTTCTAACCATTGACGCGTTTCTTCATCTTTGCTCGTAGATCCATCGGGTAATAGTGAAACGTAGTGAAGTCGATGGATCGATTGACGGAGGAAAATCACTCGGCAAGGGTTACGAATCGCCCTTGAATATTCCTCCAAGGGTTCATCTGGTCCAGCAGCAGGAAGAGTTCGTTTGTGCCAGAGAAAAGATTGACCGACAGGAAGGGTGTTGGAAAGACTGAGATTGGAGAGAGTCGTTGGTATACTGCCCCAGCCAGAAGGGAAAGGTGGCCTTGAGAGTGTCTTGATCATAGGTGGCATCAAGAATCAGTAGAACTCGTGATCGTAATAGTGGTGGTGGTGACAAGTTGAAGTAAGTTACTCAAGTACGATGCAAGATGAGCTACTCTGCAATCGGACAGCTCAAATTGACCACGTGATGCTAAGCTGCATGCTGCACTGTACTTGCTCGTCCTCCTACGATATGCATGCGGTCCTCAAAGCCTCTAACGGCTTCACCTAATTCACGACACTATGTAAGACAGAGCGATGACGAGATAGAGAGCCATGACTGTCCTCGTCAGCCTACATCTCTTACAGATCCTACGTATCACTCACGGTATATCCCTTCCATATAATTCGTTCGTCCTGCACGTCAGTCGAATATACCGCGAGACAAAAGCTGGGCCCACCGTCTTGGAGCAGATAGTTTACCAGGATGACCGATACAAACAACACTATCGTTTCGAAATTGGCCTATTGTGAGCTTGTATCAAGTCATCCGTTTCAGACTCACAAAGAATAAGGTCAGATCTTTGTGAAGAGGCCAAGCGATGAGGACGAGGAGTGGAATCATCCCAGCTGCGATTTGCAGAGAGCTACCTAAAGCCACACCGAGACTACTCATGTCAGCTTGATTCTTGGGTTCACTCGAGCGGAACCTACGTCAGTTCCATTTTGCCCTTGCAGGCCATCCACACCGAGGTGACGTGTTCGGCGGCGTTCCCGACCAGTGGCAGAAGGATTAGACCAATGAATCTGCAATCAGCAAATATCCCCTGATGGAGAATCACCAGACATACCTCTTCGGCAGATGCCATTTTTGGGCGGTCTCGTCAATACTTCCAACCAGGATATCCGCACAGAAAGCCGTGATGACGGTAATGGCAACCAGCCAGATACTGGCGGACCATACATCCATGGAAGCGACCTCCTCTTCTTCCGCCGCCTCGGCCTCGAAAAGAGTAGAGTGAGAGCGCAGCTGGAAATAGAGATAGCCAAGGTATGTCAAGAAGAGGATGATAGAGGTTCCACGAGACAAAATGAGGAGACCGTGGAGCGATGAGTCGGCTGGATCGGGAGCGCCATCTTCAAGGAGAGATTTGGCTGCATCAATGTCCATTTCAGAGGCGTGATCTGAAGTCAGGGACTCGCTTAACGGGGCCACTTACATGCTGCTGGAAGAATCAAAGTTATACAGGCCAGAGTGAGTAGCGATGAACTTGACTGGGCGGCCGTGGCCTGGAAAGTCGATTCGAAAAAGAAGAAACCGGATCTGTGGTATTCATCAGTGTTCGAACGACTTTTCGTATATGCGCACGTACGCGAAGAAGGACATGCCAAGGACGAGTAACAAATTGGATATGACACTTCCCAATAACGAAGTCTGAACCAGCCGCAGTTGATCTGAAAATCAGCGAGACCCGATCATACAGCGGACAGCTCACTTTGCATCAAAGCGACGATAGCTACGATGAGCTCGACTGCATTCCCAAAGCTGGATACATCAACAGAAACTCTCAAGTTGATCGAGCACCTACGTGGCATTCAGTAATCCGCCAAGAGTCTGCCCTACCTTGATGGACAACTGTTCGGTGCTATCACCCAAGAGCTGTCTGTCAATTCACTCTGTAGAGACGCGATAGTTCCTCACCTTGGCCAGCGGGACGATAGCCAAGAAGGAGAGAGCGAACCGCCAAGTAGCTGGCCATTCGAGTTTGTCGGCTAAGTCGATCAGTTTGGAGCTAGTGTGTGTACTGCGGACAGACCAATGATACTGAGGGGTACGAATACGAGAAGTACGTTGATGTAGGAGCCCAAGATAAGATGCCGACTGGAACCGAGGATATCAAATTTGTTGCTGTGCTCGAGGTGACTACTATGAACCGAGGCGGCCGGGAGCAGCGGTGTGGTTTCTGCCGGAGGCATGATGCAGAGGGAGGAGGACCTATTCGAGAGGTAAACAGCGGCCGGAGAGTTGCAAACAATATATTACGCCGAAGCAGATGGCCCGGTTTTGAGAAGGAGTTGGTTGAACAGCAGGGTAGAGTAGAGTAGTGACTTGGGCAGAGTGACTTGGCCAGAGGCTTGGCGTGAAGCACGGGTATGACGTCGTGTTTACGTAAGCTGTCTTCTCCAAGCGACAGGTGAAAACAAGCCCGTGTCCTTGCTTCTTTGTCATCCCTACCCATCCACCCCATCGCCATCGCCATCGCCGTCACAACCCTACATCACACAAAAGCCTAGCCAACTCTCTTCTTGGGTCACACCCTCTACCCCTACCCTCATAACCACCGAGACCTTCTCACTGATAGACCTCACCACTCGACTTAGTCAAGTCCATTGTTCACCCTCGCGCACGTTCTCACTACCGATGCCTTTTGTCACAATCTGAAACCATCTCTTTCTTGTCAGCGCCAATAATCATGCTTTACATATAGTCCACTTTGTAACTCTCCTCATCAACTTCCATCCTCATCTGTCGTACCACTCATCCTGGAACTCGTTCGTTTCAGACTCACACCTAATACATTCCATCACAATGTCAACAATGGTCTTTGCAAGACAGCCACTCTCGCCACCACATGTATCTCCTTCCGCCCTTTCATCCGTCGTGGTATCTGAGAACGAGTCGACTCATGGGCCTAAACAACCCGGTCCTACCTCATTACTTTCGGCCATGATCAACTCACCGGATCATCGAACGTCTCAGTCTCGACCACAACCCTCATCTGCCGGCCTCACCACCTCCGCTTCGTCGGCTTTGTCCAGCCCGCACAGCATCCCTGATCCTATCCTTCGCCGATCCAGTGTCACATCCGCATCCGATCATGGAGAGCCGCATGCACATCTGAGTTTGCTGGAAGCTCTGGATGGCGTCAGCACCAAACTAGGTTTGGTTGCTCGAGGTGATGCTGCAGATGTGAGTGATTTTACAGACCTTGCTCTTCAACGATTGACGTATCAGAAACCTCGAACATCCAGGCGGAGGTGTTCACTCAAGTTCGAGGTGGCACCTGTCACCAAGGGATCCGACCTTAATCATCACGCGGATCATCCTCCTCTCGATACAATTGTCCCTGCCGATGACTCAGACTCCGATGATGGCTATATGGATGATCTCGATGAAGGATCTGATAGTTCGGCGGAATCATCCACAGAATTTCCTTTTGCTCGTCCAACACATTACGGACCTCGTCGTTCTCCTACTCCCTCTCCACCTGTTTCAGGGGCCATTTCCCCCCCTCCACCTCGACGCGGTCGAGGTCACATACGTGTAGCCGAGGATACGAATGTCAGCGATGAACGGTGTTCGCGCCATCGTAGTCCGCCTCCTCGAACGTCTGCCAGTCGAGAACGTAGAGGTTCGAGAGGGCGACTTTCAGATGCTGGTCCTCGTCTCGGCCGAGCAGGTAGTCCCATGCCATCCAAAGTTTTCACCAGTAGTGACGAAGAAGAGCCAACAAAACCATCACATCCTCAACGGGGATGGCTCAGCGACGACTACGGCATGCGTAAACACCCGGCTCATCCACCTGTCCCTCATATCTCTACGTCGGCTCGTCAAGATCCCGCTGCTCACTCTGTCCCCATGGCTCGATCTCAGTCATTAGCTGAACAAGGCGTGCGAGGCTTTTTACGTCGAGCTTCCGAGCATATACCGGGCTTCAAACGATCCGACCCCGCACCTCCCCCCGAAAATGACAAAACGACCGGCTCTGTTCCACTTGTTGCGCAGTCTACCTGTCCTCCTCAAGTGGATGCTACCCCGGCGACCGCTTCCTCGCACGTCAACTCGACAGATCTTGTGCATCAGCTGGAATTGACGCTCTCGCTGGGTCGCCCAGTCGACCTCGCCCGGTCCCGATCGCTTGGTGCCAAGGTTAGCTTCAAGGATCCAGCGGGCGGAAGGGGTCATGAAATGCGAAGTCACGGATAGAGTTGTGGATGATATTAGACATTGTATATGCGCTGGAGAGCAGAGGGATTGAAACTCGTGTAGCCATGTAGCTGATATTTATGAACCTCTGCATGCATTTGAAACAAACGAGTGGCTAGCGGCGATGACCGCCTGTCCGCTTCAAAAGTTGTTCCTCTTTCGACTTTGACCTGGTCAGATCACCGTAGTATTCCTCTGACAAGGCTACTGTATTTCAGTATCTCTCTCTTCCGCTCTACCAGGCTTTCGTCCTTCTTCCCACCTTCACAAGTACCGTTCTAGTAATATTCAAACATGTCGGCTGTCCGGGGTCAGGTACGTGAGACAAAAAGCTATGTACAAAGTGCTGATAACCTTTCAGACAGCTCTCGCCCTCACAAGAACTTGGCATCATGTTTCCGCTAGAGATCGTGTGCTCGGAACGATGGCAAGTCGGATAGCTTGGGTTTTAATGGGTAAACATAAACCCACATATGATCCTTCTGGTCAGTTTGCAATTCGTCATCTCACCATATGACTTTTGCTCACGTTGAATTTCAGTTGACGCTGGTGATTACGTGATAGTATCTGATGCGTTAAGCGTGAGATTGACAGGTAAAAAAGGAGATGAAAAGATTTATCGTCATCATTCAGGATTCATGGGTGGATTAAAAGAAGTTCCAATCACTCGAATAAGAGATAGATATCCAGAGGAGGTAAGTGTATATTTCTTCCACATATTATCTTTATCAATCTATGTCCCTCTTTCTCTTTTCCCACAGGTGTATTAAACCCATGATTATTATGAAAAGTAATATTGTAACTCGTGACTATGAGAGAAAGAGTAATAATGAGTGATTTGGTTGATTTTAAACAGATTATTCGTCGTGCTGTTTCTGGAATGTTACCTAAAAATACATTCCGAAAAACTCGATTGGAAAGATTAAAAGTATTTTCAGAAGAAGCACCTGAAGTTTACATGAACAACATCATGAAAACTTATACTACTACTCCATCTTCTTTATCTTCCACATCTTCAAACGAATCATCACTTTGAAATATTCTATCATAGTCATATGCATGGACACGGACACGGACCGTCAAATGGATTTGTTTTTTTTAACTCATCGTGACTACCGTGAGATTGATATGGTATCATCAACCGACCTTGACGACGGGTTAAGAATTCATTTCAAAACATCTTCTCATCGATTCTTTCTTCTTACCATTCTTTAGTCTGATTCACTTACTAATTTTACTACTTGGTATCAACAGTCGGGTCAAGGTTTTCATATCGATCGAAACAAGTTAAAGAAAAAGATCTTGACGAAATGCAATGACGACCAATACGACTTGTATAGGGATTGGGATGTCTTGGGCGGTAAATGGAAAAGGAGATACACCTTGTAAGTTTTTACCTTCAGTCTACAAGTTATCATATGAGATCACTCATTTTTCTAAGGTAAAATGTACCAAGATCTCATCAATATCTGCTCACCATGTAAGTGAATTATTAAATGAAAGTGGAATTGCTCAAATAGTCAGTCGTCATGTTCCAAATCGACCTTCCGCCAGTGATGTACGGATGCGCTTTGGGTAACCCGGGTAGCTGTTGTTGTTCAAGTGTTGCTTTTGCGTTATTTGAGGCATGTCTCCTGTGAGTATAATCATTGAAAACATCTTGATGATCATTGATGGATATATAGATGTCAGAGGTTAGTCGACATAATTCCATTGTTCATGGATCAACTTGATAATTCAGGAATATGACAATTTTGTCAAAAGCTGAAACGTTGAACACTTTTTTAGATGGATGTAGTAATCCTCTCATGGGAGAGTAAGTCGTTATCTCTCCATCCAGAAGTTCTAATCATGTAGCGTACCTGCCATTGTTAAAGCAGCAGGGACCTTCACTATGCCCCCTTGGGCTTTCATGACTCAAGATCCGGCATCAACGTGGTGAGTCGTCTTCTCCCTCGTTCCCCATTTTGTCATCATGGTAGGACAAGTGCTCAAAAGAAAAAGGAACCCAGTCGCCGCATCTATAAATGCTACCAGTGCTAAACAATCAACCACCACCAGGACTATACTCTCTCCTGTGGCAACCACAACACGGACGACGACGGTCAAGACTAAAATCACCAACGGCAACGGTCCGACTGTGACCGTTCAGCAGATGAGAACTTTCTCGATGAGTGACTCCATCACAGCTTCTCCTACTTCACTCCCTCTCATATCTTCCACAAACTCGACAGTGATCACCCCTGCCCCCGATTCGAGCCCACCTCAGCGTATCAGCACTGGTGCCATTACTGGCGCTGTTATAGGTACATCGGCAGGCTTGGTAGCCTTATCTGGATTATTGGTTGTCATCTATCGAAATGGCGGGTGGGTCATTTTCAAACCTACTTGTGCATCACCGCGCTCACCAGCAGTCGTTTACGACGACGTACCTCTCCCATCTCGTCGTTGCGCCGTCGTCAGTATATAGAAACCGCCATATGATTTTATCAATCAAAGGGGAACGGGGGGAAAGCAGTGGCATTATACATTTGTCAAAAGCCAAACATGTCCAAAAAAAAGTTACCAATCCGGGATTATATACAATTTATTCGAAATGGCGAATGTAAGAATACGATAAGGAAGAAATCGTAGACACCACTGATGTCATGTAAAAGATGCCCAACAAAAATGAATACTATAAATAACCGTGTGTCTGAAAACTGTTATATAGCCGCTCCGAGCATTTCCTGATCAGGATGCTCTTCCGGAGGTGCACTTCGTTATCAGCGAGCGAAAGTAGGTCAAGGCAGATGAAAGACTCACGTGGAAACCCGGAGCGGTGTTGATTGACGGAGAGGGCTAGTTCGGCGATCAAGACTATCGAGAGGAATGTCAAGCTCAGAAGACCGCCATCCTCCTCGCCCTCCCAAGTTCGCCATTCCACCCCCATCCAGGATTTGGGCCTCCACGTCCAAGCCAGTCTTGCTGATGACCCCTGTTCTGTCACTGGGCGTGGCCGGTCGACTAGGGCTGTACTGTGTCGCGTTCTTCGGGACGGTTCGGGGTGGTTTTTTGTCGAGTGAGGCGGCGGTGGTAGAAGTGGCGCCCGAGGTGGTTTGACCGCTGACGGAGGCCGAATGATAATATGATCTTCTGGTGGCTTTTGTGTAGTCAAAGAGTTTGAAGCTATGTCGACGTCAACTCCGTTCCTGATCGAATGGTGAAACCTACTGTTCTTCCATCATCCGCGTTTCTGGGCTCATCGAGTCTGGATCTTGTCCCTCCTTCCTCTTGCGAGCTTTCAAAGGATTCTCTTCCAACAATAACTCTTCTAACTCATGTGTAGCGTCAAAATTGGCTCGCTTGGACTGGTGTATCAGCGACAGAGTGTGACGAGTGTCATGTCGAGTCACTCACGTCAGGTTCAAATGGTGGTAAAACCTCCTTATTATGCAAGGCGTTCCAGTCGATGCCGCGAAACCACGGGTGCGATTTGATGTCCTCGAAGCCACCGCCTCCTGGCCGATAACCCAGTCGTTTGTTGGGATCACGTTCCAAGAACTAAATCTAGTCAGCAAACGCCTCAGACACAGAACGAGTCTACTCACAGTGCGAATGGCGTGCATCCCTTCCGTCGAACACTTCCCAGGGGCTTCTTCGGGCCAGGTCAAGGGTTCGTGTAATATTGCATTCGTCAGGGCTGTATTGGTCCGACCACGAAATGGCCGTTTTGCGAAAAGAAGTTCGTACCTTACGAAGTCAGCCGGTGGTTCTCAGGAACTCGGAGCACGTACGCTAATATGCCTAATGACCAGAAGTCCACTGGGGCAGAATAACCTCGTTTCGTCAAGACCTCTGGAGCTGCAGGGATCAGCATGCGCGTAAAATCGTGGTCAAAGGTCTACGAACCCATATATGCCATACTACCGGCGACTCCTGTTAATAATCTTCGATCTGAAAAATGCACGGCAATGTTGAAGTCGGTAATGTGGGCATGACCTCGTTCATCCAATAACACATTGTCAGGCTTCAGATCCCTGCACATGAGCTTGTATTCAGAGTGAAGAAGAATGACGAACCGATGAACAATTCGTTTTGAATGTAGGTAGTCGACGGCCATGACCAGCTCCGCGACGTAAAATCGGACCACTTCCTCGCTCATAGCCCCAGCTCTATCAAGATGAACTGAAAGAGTCAGACTGAAGCCGCTCATTACAATAGAGGAGGTCATAAGTACTGACATCGGAGATCCCCTCCCAACATCAGGTCCAACACAAAGAAACAATTCTCATCATCCTGAAAAGCGTACCGCATGTTGACAACAAAGGGATGATCGATCTGTATCTAAATTGCCTTTCCTTATGTTAGAGTAGAGACGTACCTCCTCCAATAGCCTACGCTCCTGTACTATGTTGGCCACCGCTTTCATCTTGACACATTTCGCCTTATTGATGTATTTGAGGGCGTATAATGTTTTTGTGTGTTTATGTTGGACCACTCGGACCTATCAGGTATTAGCAGGTCAGATGGATGAGATGAACAAGTAATTTACTTTTCCAAAAGCCCCCTTCCCGACGCTCCGTAGTAGATAAAAGTGGAAGAGATTGACATCGCCCTCAAAATCGATAGCCTGTGTGAGCATCAGCAATGATTGTCACTTCCGAGTTCTCGACCTCACCTCTGGCTTGCAACAAGCAGCACCCATGCTACGATGCTTGCCGTACTAACCGAGAGTACGCGCCTGATGCGACGTCAAAAGAGTGAAGCCGAAGAATGGGGTCGCGGCTTAGCAAAGAGCCTGATTCGGCTGGTGTGACTAAACGGGATGGCGAAAGGATGAGGAGGAGAGACTGTACAGGTGTCGTCCTACGGCGATGGGAGGGAGAGGGAGAAGACTCGATGACAAGAATTGGAGTTGGACCAGACAGCGACTAAGTTAGGAGAGATACGTTGTGTAAACTGTAAAATGAGCGGGTTCAAACTATGAAGACGAGGGAGTGAGATTTGAAAGGACGGTGATCTCGATGGACAGATAGATTTCTAAAAAGGAGCAGGTAGGGGTGAGCGATGGAATCGGAGTACTCGTACAGATAGATAGGGTGGAACATGTAAGAGAGGGAGAGAGAAGGGGAGAAGGACAGGCCTGTGTACCTGTGTACTGTAGAATGCAAACCAGGGGAAAAAGGGGGGAAAAGGATGAGGAATATGTAGGACAGAGGGATGAACCGTGCAGAAGAGGAAAGGTATCACTTACCAGGCACTAGAGTAGTGTACCATGTAACTTACCTGCAGCCATGCAGCATGCAGCATCAAGCATCCACCCTTCCTCTATCGACGAGACATTGAGTAGCGGACACTGAGACTTGGTTCCTGTCTGCAGATAAGTCGATGTATCAGAGTGATAGAGCGATTAGAGAGAGAGAGCGAGGCGGAGGGAGAAGCGTATTTACCGGTTACAACTCACTCGTTTGACAATAAGGGCAAATTGTGCGACATGAAACGTCTCAAGTGCCATGTGGCTGCAAACTACTTATACACTCCCTGAACACTCTGACCGTTCATTAGATGCATGTGGGTCCGGGTGAAATGGTCATCAAGTACTAGAGTTGTACAACTACTATATCAGGTCATGTAAAGCTACAAGTTTGGTGACAAAGTCACAGTGGTTGATCAATTGTTGGTCGCAGACGACTTGAGACTTGTCGTCATTTGGTGCCCCACGCCGTCGCCCTACTCCGGGAAGCAAAAGATGCTGGCGGTCTTAACACAGATGGAAGAATATAGGTGACAAGGATCAGAACCGCCGTGAGTGTCTATTACTCAGCCACGACGACATGATGAGAAGAATGGCTTACCTGAGGCCAAGGGAAGGGACTGTCATAGACTACTGATTCCTGGAACAAAGGTGTCGTTCGGTCGATCCCATCCTCAGACGCCCAGATGGCCATGACCTCCACCATGCCCAACACCAGCCCACAAACGGCACCAGGCCATAGAACACTTAACATCACTCGCTCAAGTAATGGTTTGTCACGTTTGGGAATCCGGTCAAAGAGGATAGACGCAAAGTGCCGCATGCGCGATTCCGCAAGCTTATCCTGGAGCAACCTTTGAGGTACACGAGGGGTCGACGAGGGACGTTGACGCTGGATAAGCTGAGATGGTAGCCAGGCACCATGCAGGCTATCCTTCAGCTTGCTTCGGAAATAGGAAAGGAAGACAAACACACCCGTATGGAACCCTTTGAGGTAATTTGATTCGGCAGATCACGGCCGACATGCCGCTCCCCATCGTTTTAGCGTCGATAACCCAAAATTCGGAGCCAGCATTCGGAGCATTGGAAGGTGTTCCGTGCTTGTCGATATATGATTCATCGTATACTAGGGCGTTGTAAGCTCTTCGTTCAACGAAGCAGAAGCAGCTGAGGGAACGTACCGTACGAAATGAGATAACCGTCGTCTTCACTAAGATCGGTACCATTCCGAGGCACAAATCTGGGTTCCTGCGCATACCACTTAGGTGGTAATTGAAAGATCTCGATGGGACCCTTTTTACCGGTGGCCCAATCCGACAAAATCTGTGATGACGAACGTTCGTCGACAGGACGGCTGACATTACCAGAACCTCGAGCTCGACCTCTGTCTACCAGCGTCCCCACGTCCATCTTGACGAGACAATCCACCTTGGCTGCCCCACCCAACCGTTCGTCAAAGGACCCCTCTCCCATTGTGCAGCCATACACATATCGGGCGGCAGACATGGCTTTGTCAGGAGTTACAGTGGGGAATTCGAAAGGGATGGCTGAGAGAGGGAATGAGTGGGTAATGTTGCCGGGTGTTGTCGACGCCGAGAAAACGAATGTGGGCATTTCAAATCTGTAGTAATGTAGTTGCACCACGTCGTCTTCTCCCGCGACCTTCTCGGCCTTTGGAATTTCCACCGCACCGACAGAATAGACGAGTTTGGCACTTTTGAACCGACATGCTAGCATGTTGATGGCGACTGGTCGGTCGCATACATATTCGTCCCAAGCATTGGCAGTGTGAAATATGAGACACGGCTCGGGGTCGACAAATCGGAAAACTTCTCGTGTTTTCTTGGCAGCGCCCAGCAATCGAGGAAAGATGATGAACTCGGATGGCAAAGACCGGTCAAAATGGATCAACGGCAGAGGAGGAAGTGAAAAAAGATTGCTAGGAGAAAGGGTCAGCGGGAGGTTGAGTAAGATAGTGTGACTTCGTGTGGCGGCAAAATCGTGCATCCTGTCTTCTGTCAACATACCAAGTGTCAGTGGTAAGGACCAACATCTTTGCTCGACCGATATCTATTCCCTCCTTCCACACAAGGTGCTGTCCTTTACGATCGATGACAGAGTAACGTGCGTGAGGCGGCTCGAACATGTTGGTAGAGTAGAAGAGTAGCGACCCATCGATAGGGTCTATACGGGGATGAGCTGTCATCCAGTCCTAAAATATGAGCTCATAAATCTCATGTAAGAATAACGGGCGAACTTCTTGAACTCGAGGTAGACCGAAACGGGTCCACCATCCTGACCTCCCTCGTCGTCGTGCCAGATCTTCTCCGCTTTTCGAGTCGACCAGACGATCCCATCCCACCGTTTCTAGCTCTGGTAGACGGACTTCTAAGGGTGGTCCCGATTCACACGTTGCAAGTAGTCGATGATCATCGACATGTTGAAATGACTGCTGTTCAGTCTCAATGGTCTTAGATCCGTCCTCCATCTTGGCTTCCTCTCCTGCCTCGATCCCCAAGCCCTGTCCCCACCAGATGACATTGGTATTCGCAACACTCAGCACACCAAGTCGCCCACGAATGGCCAAGATGAAGGCAGTGACAATTGCTGAGATCTGACGATGTAACGACGATAGAGGTAGGATAAGGAGGGCGATCGATGGTATAGGAGATCGAAGTATCAAGAGGGTCATGTCGAGCAGAGGAGTGGCCAAATGTCGATTTGTGTACATAGGTGGACTGTCCGGATCAGTGGGCATCAAAACACCATGTAACATGCCATCACCGTCAAACCAATGATAGTGTCTACCCTTGTGAGGAGGATAGACTGGATTGCCACCATTGCGGATGTACTGGCCACCTAGGAGCTCGGAGGGGATCGATCCGAGTGTCACTGGACAGGGATGCGATATGTATTCTTCCGTCACGGGGGCGAAATTACCTCTGAGAAACGGATGGAGGTCGTTTGTGGTTGAGGCCTCAGAGGTCGACATGGTGGTGAATGTCTAATGCACAGCACGAGTAGAGTACGAGCCTACTCGTTCTTGCAGACATGCAGAGATCGCAGAGATCTGGCAGGTGAAACGACCGACTTGTGTGGGAGATGTTGGGGGGTTACAGATGTGCCACATTGAGCCGCCGTAGCCACGTGGCGATAACGCCGAAACCGGGACATGTTCCAACTTCACCTCACTTCTATTCACTTGGATCGAAAACTTATCCAACACCATGAGGTGAGCTGTTTTCCTACCTAACCGGCGTGAGTTGAGCTAACGCCGTTCTCTCTATCGAACCATAAACCGTCACATTCTCTTGACTCATTTGACCCACATGCAGTCAATACCTCCACGTCCCAAAATCCGAGCTGGACGAAGCCCAACTTCGTGAATTGGAAGAATATGAGATTTCACAAGGTCCCTTATCTGTACTTCAACAGGCTGTTCGGAATCAATCACAAGTTTTAATATCTCTGCGGAACAACAAAAAGCTTCTGGCGAGAGTGAAGGCGTTCGATCGACACGCTAATATGGTGTTGGAGAATGTGAAGGAGGTGAGTTGCCACACAAACTACATTTGTTAAAGTCGATGCTTGTCACATCAAACTTGTCACCATCTTGTCTTCTTCCCCTGTAAAGAATCTTAATGATGGTAGATGTGGACGGAAACACCAAAAGGAAAGGGTAAAAAAACTATCAACAAAGATCGTTTCATTTCGTGAGTGCACCCCTTCCCCTCAAAGACGGTCTATCGCTTATCATGACCAGAAAATTGTTCCTGAGAGGTGATTCGGTCATATTAGGTGTGTTGAGATTCATCATCCAGAGTCGAGAACAGAGCTGACCGAACAGTTTTGCGGAACCCAGCATGAGACAGGGGCGGATTATGGTTCGTGTAGTCGTTTCTAAATACCCAATGCTACATGTATATCTTCGCATCGAAGATGAACATTCCCAAGGAGTCGCTTTTATCCAGTTTTCCCATCACACGAGATCGGATCTGCCCTATGGAAGTCGATTTGACAGCGCTGGGTTACCTAAGGTGAAAGGAAAAGCCTATGTGCATGTCATACATGAATTCTCACTACCCACAACTTGAAAACCCTCGATCTACAAACAGATTTGATTCAGTACACCCAGAGGCTATTGATATCGGGGTGTTAACCTCAACACAAAACCCCTACACCCTTGGACGAATTGCTGAGTGTGACGAGAGCGTCAACGGCTTTCATATCTGAAATCATGTCAACAAGGTCCGGTACAATAGATTGATATAGGTACAGCAAACTCACCAATATTCTTCCCCAGATTGATATTTGTCAAAGCTCTCACGCTGAGATCATCTTTCACAAGAGCAATGAGCTCCACGAAAGGGTCTTCTATATGTATATCCTGAGTCGTCAACTTCACATTCACTCTTTAACTCGGCCGGATACAAACTCTCGGTAAAACCACTCCGATCTGATCTATCAGCCAGTTTAATGTTACTTGATAGTTTTGACACTCACCGGTCCACCATCGGAAGCTTCGACTGTAGCGGTATCTCCGTTAAGTTTGACGACTTTGACAGTCAGTCGGACCGTTTGACCTTTGAACTGAGGAAGTAGTCTAGAGTTTATACGAGCTATCATGATTCAGCTTCAACCTCTATTCACCCTTGCACAAATCTCACGCTCAGGACCGAGACGAGACATGTTGATAACGTAAACGACGGCGTGAAGTGATAGAGGTGGATGAGAATACAGTAAGTTAGCGGAGCAGTTCAGAACGCCAAAAGTTGAGGTGGACATGGACGCGTTTTGATACCGCTATCAAACCACGTGGGAATGAGGTCACGTGCAATTCAAATTGGTTTGAAAAAGTTGAATTCAGTTGTCGAACTTTCTTAGACTTTCTTCTTGCAATATCTCCTTTCTAGCTTTCAGCCTTACACAAGTCAAAAATGGTTTCATTCCAGTAAGTACAAAGTCATGTGTTGGAAACGATTGATTTGACTGATATGAAAGATGTGATTCATGTGCCGATACTGTCAAAAAACCTCAATTGGATAAACATCGTCAAAAATGTAGAGGTAGCTTTACTTGTCTCGGTATGTTCTGTTCCTCCTTTCAAAAACCCTCATTCATGCTGACCGAATTCAGATTGCTCGACTACATTCCATGATCAAGCTTATAAGTATGTACATCTTCCATTGGCCTTTGGCTCATGACTGAATTAGAATGATTGATGACGTTAATAGATCACATACAACTTGTATTTCCGAAGCTGAAAAATATCAAGGAGCACTTTTCAAAGCACCTAAAAAGGTCAGTCAAATCAATCCATTTGACTAAAAACTTGTCTATAATCTGATATCATGTAGGGAAAACAACTTTCCAATCATTCCACTCCTGTTCATGTACCATCCACCACCACCACCCCTGTCATTCCTGTGACCCTGGAAATTCCAACATCACCTGATTCATCCAACATCCATCCATCTCGTCTTAAAGCTCTTCAGTCTAACAATTTCCAACCAAATTCTCGTTTGAGCGAAACGGGTAATCGTGGAGGTCGGAATTTCGTCCGAGGTAGAGGAGGTTACGGTGCGTCAAATAAAGGTAACATGGTTTCTGGACAAAACACTTTAAAACCTCGTGAAGGTACCATGAGATCTTGGGGCTCACCTGCCGTTTCAGAACCAATCATCAATACGTCCAATGAGGAGGATAAAGGGGTTGTTTTACCATCTACTGTATCAGTGGGCATGGAAGTATCAGAGAAGAAAAAGAGGAAGAATAAAGGTGATAAGGGTGGAGCAGGATCGAAAGCCCATTCTAAAAATCCCAAATCATTCAACGACGAGACAACACATGTCACATCTTCAGCCGATCTCAACGATATCAGTATCGTCCCACCAGTCGAGGGCGGCACGAACACCGAAGAACAACGACCTCAATCCAAGAAACGTAAACGTCAGAGCGAGGAATTGCAGAACCAACCTGTGATCAACACCACCCCCATCTCCTCAGACGATGATAAAACGGTCAAACGCATTCGCAAGAACATAACAAAGTTATCCGAGAAACAAAAAGGCACGATTGCGCTGGGGGATTGGCTTGATGAGGTTGCACAGAGCAAGGGAAAGACGTTGGAGTTGAAACAAGTTTTGAAAACTTTACAGGTCATGTGGACGGATGGAAAGTGGATCTTGACAACCTCGTAATTTGCTTGTTGTAATAAACTGAATGACATGTTAATGCAAATGCAATGTTTGAAATTTTCTAAACCCCTGAAAGCCATGCATGTATATTGGCGTGTCTAAGTTGTACAAGAAACAAGTATCATTACGATGGTAAATCAGATTGTGATGAATGTTCCAAGGAAATACTATCCAAACTTTCATTTGCGGTATCGAAAGAATCGCCAGAAGAGTCGGATGGCAATTCCGGAAGTTCTCGTTCTACAGCAGCATGAGCAGCTTCAGTGGAAGAAAGATTGACATCTGTTTGAAGATCAGGTAGGGAAGCAGCTTTGATATTAGGTCCCAATGATAAGGCTCGTGCTTGTTCGTAATCTTCTTCGTGTATTGACATGAGAGATGATGATTTTGGAAGTCCGGCTGCTGGTGGAGAAGAGTAATGAGGTGAGGGAATGAAGATGGGATGACGTTTATCGGCCAAATCACTTCTCGCTGACTGGAGAGATTTCGCTGGGGTGGGTAAGATTATCGGTTTATCTTCATCGTTAGAGTCGACAAGTTCAGAATGGGGAGTAGGAGCTTCGATATTGATTTGTGGACCAGATGAGTCATTTGTCGTCGGAGTCGCTGGACCTGGGGAACGAGCGTGTTTACGTTCGATTCTAAGTCTGCCCGCTAGAGTTTTGGCAGCCGCTTGAGGACCAATTGTAAAACCTCTTTTAGTCTCGTTAGGATCTTTCGGATCGGATCCTTTCCATCTCCTCCACCCTTCAAAATCTATCAAAGCTTGCATGCAACCCCATTCGACAATCTTGCGTTCCAACCATTTCAAAGAAACAGGTTTGGTGAGGAAATCGTTGCAACCCGCCGCCAGAGCTACCACACGATCACTTTGAAGTGATGAAGCGGTGAGAGCGACAATGATAACAGATGAACGGAAAGGAGAAGATGGGGCTTCGCCTGTCGAACGAGGATATTCCGAACCTGGGGTACTGGGGAAAACGCCGATGTTATGACTTCTTTCAAGCTTGCGGATCTCTTTTGTCGCTTCGATACCGTCCATGACGGGAAGTTGAATATCCATCAATATAAGATGGAAGCTACCAGTCCGCCATTTCTCTACTGCCTCTAAACCATCCTTTGCAGATTGATATTGTATCTTCTTTTTGCGTAAAAACATTGCCAGAATGTTTTGATTGATAGGGTTATCTGTTCGTAAGCTTTGTCTTTCAATCTACCTGATACTCACCTTCAACTATCAGAACATTGATGGGAGGCACCACCACATCATCGCTCACACTCCGCCTAACTGTTCGCAAGACCTTTGGGGGCTTGACAAAACCAGGAGAACTGGTTTTGGTAGGTTGAGATGGATGAACCTCTTTGGGTGACGGCAAAATCGGAGGAGAAGCCGGATTCTTTCTTGCAACCTGCGTGAGGGTCGCGGCTCGGTCTCGACCTTGAGCAATGATAGGTTCGACATTCTGATTAATCTGAAAGGTCTTTCGACGTGATACGCCTCGACCTGGCAAATCAGGTGTCATCGTCGGCGACATTTCCTTGCTCCCTGAACTGCGCCGTGAGGCTGACTCCTTTACGTCCGTTTTGCTCGTAGATGACGACATGTTGGAAATACGACGAGCGTTCTGAGGTGAAGTCGCAGGAGATTGATTTGACTCGTCTTGATTCGCCCCGGAAGAAGTTCGTCTGCCAGTTGCTTTCCTTCGCAGTGTGTCTGATGGCATTCTTCCGTAAGACGACCGTCGACCGTCTGCCTTTGCAGGCGGTTCGAAGAACATGCCAACAGGAGTTCCGTCAGGGCTCTGAAGGACGATACCTGACGCAGCAGAACCGGTCTTGACCGAGGAAAAATACTCAAAGGCTGGGGTGGAAACCAGGTCGCTGGAAGGTGGGATGGAGAGGTGCAGAGCATCGTTGAGTCGTCTATTGCTCTGTATTGGAGGATATTCGCCCAGCGGTGAACGAACAGAGTGGTGAGTAGGATGTTCCAAACTCTCCTCCATGACTCGATCAAAGAAGCCATTATCCCGGGCAAGTTCTGTCCCAGTTGGTGTACGAAGATTGGCGAAGAACCCTCCTCCAGGAGATCGAGGGCTGGTGGCGATAGGTGAGAAGTATGGGTCTACAATGGGTTGATGAACGGCAGTGTGTAGAGCTGTGAGGAAGCGACGAGGACCGACTGGCTTGGGTATCACCATCACGTCTGGATGAATCAAAGTACCGCTCTGAGTCGCCCAGGGAGATCCAATGAGACCTACGATGACGTCCCGTACCAAGTTGTAATTTGCAAGACTAGTGAAGTGAATGATCATTTGGCCGGGACGCTTGAGGTTAGACACTTGACGGACATGTGGTGTTGATCTGGCTCGACTCGTCATGGTCGGTCGTTTACCGAGGTGAGGTCGAACGGTGGTGGGCAGAGCTTGGGAACGAAGACGGATCAGCTCTCTACGAAGGACTGAGACATCGTCGTCGATGATGATGAACTTGTCCGCCTCACGAGCTGCAAAGACACCAGAGCCAGCCAGTGACATTGGCGTGGGCATCGTCACCGTCTCCATGGCGGGAGGGGTATTTGGAGATCCAGCATAGCCAGAGTCACGCCGTGATCCATCCCGACTGTGCGGTTCGGATTCTTCAAGGGGTTTATGTGAAATGTCCAAACCCCAGACGGCTAGATAGCTGGTCAGATGTCGGGCAAAGACACTTGTGAGACTGGCGTGTAGCAGGACTTTCTTGCCTCGAAGGGATTCTGCGAAATCTGAGAGCTCAAACAGAGTGGGTTCACGAGCGAGGCGGACGGTAGAAAAGGGTTGTCGGACTGCTTCTTCCTCCGCTGACAGGGCGGCCGGTTCCGGAATTGGTCGACCACGAGGTAACATGACTGACAGCTCGTATGCTCGACGAGGCAGGCCATCGTTGAGTGGTGAGGACGGCTTGGCATCGGTCCGTAAAGTGGCGTTCTGACTCTGCAAGAGTCGACGGCACATGATGGTGTCGAGTCTAGGGGTGGCGGCGTCACCTTGTTCTTTCAGTTGACTAAAAGGATTGAGTTCAGCTCGCGGAGTCTGACTGGGTGAGTCGTACGATTGAAAGATGTTGTGAACAATCTCAAAGATGCACAGAAGAGGGCCTTGGGCCAGTCCGAAAGGGGTAGAAGGGAATGTCTTTCCAGGGGAGGTGGGAAGGCCGCCGGATAACATATTTGCTTGTCGATGTTTGTCAACATCGGCGTTGGACAAGGGCAATTCCAGACGAGGGGTAAGAGAGGGTGACTGAGGAATGATCTGCAATCCGAGCTCGATTGTATCGCCTTTGTGAGCGACGAGAAGAATTTGTCGGATGACGTGACTGAGCACATATGCTAGTCCTTCTCCATCTCCACACACGCTGACATGCTTGATCCCCACATCACCATGAAAGAGAACAAAGTCGACTCCTGCTTGAGCCGCTTGACCGCTCAATAGATCAGCGACACTCTGCAGTAACTCGCCAATGTCAAAGTCATTGGCGGGTTTGACAGCTGGAGGTGTCCATCCGCTTTCCTGGGCATGGAGAGGTGCGCAGAGGGTTTCTACGTTGGCGGATAAGTAGTTCAAACTCCGCATGGATGTGAGAAGTGCTGATAAAGATGTGGTTGGCATCTGAACAGTACAACCAGAGTACTGTTCTTTGGCATTATCGAGGAGATGAGGAGGTGATAGGTGAAGGAGGGTTTGAATAGCTGATTGAACCGAGTCGGCTAACTCGAGAGACAGGGTATGAAGAGGGGTTCGTACATCATCGTCCGATGCAGGGCTGGTTTGAACGGAGCCTGAGTGGACCGGTCTGGCGGTGGGAGGCCCTGAAGGTGGGAAAGGTGATATTGGTGGATGCCCAGAACCATATGGATCGTGCAGTGGAGATAAGGGGTGACGAAGATAGCCTACGCGAGCAGGTAGAGGAGCGGAATAAGTTCTGTTATAGGCTGGAGGAACAGGGTGTACGGGAGGATCGAAGGTGTATTCCTCTGCTGGTGGTCCAACACCTGAAAATTCAGGATCGATAGCTATGTCATTGAAAGCAGTCGGTTGACTAACGGCTCGATGAGGCATAGTCATTGTTGGTCCTCTTCTCTCGGCTGGAAAACTTGGTTCTGTTGATCGTTCGCTCATACTGGAAAAGGAATGTTCTCGGGTGCTTCGACTATCATCCTCTGATTCACTCGAAGAGGGAAGGGCGAACGGATCTTCAGCGAAAGATGAAGTATTGTTGAAGGGATCTGAAGGTGGATGAGATGAAGGATCGAAAGGAGAAGGACCTGGAGGTCGAGGGGGCCAAGCGAATTTAGGATTCGTAGAGGATGAAGAAGATGAAGCTGATAACTGATTTATGAGTATGTACATGTGAAATAGACAGGGAAAAGAGACTCACAGGGAAAGAAGGATCAGATGAAGACATCGTATCCTTGTCCATGGTGGGCTCGACGGTAACACTGTTACTGGTATTATTACCCATATCCTCTGCCAGAGTTTGAGTTTTGAGTACGGATTGTTTGCGAGGTTTCGGTGCCGTAGGAGGTAAAGCCAGAGAAGTGGGAGGAAGAGTAGATTTGATCGGAGGTGGAATCGGATAAGATGGGGAAGAAGTAGACGCATGGGGCTTGAGAGCAAAGTACGGCATGTTGACCAATGTTACTTGTCACGATCACGCCGTTATCAACTTGTGAATAGCCTTCACAGTACCGAAACCGCAGTGCTACCTGCCTACTGCCTTGATGCCGATCGTCCAGCCTGATATTTGTACGCTCGTCGTACGTCGTATGTCTCGTCTGGTAGATGGATGAGTGCCTGACCACCTGTCAATCGATCGCGAACACAATAATGGTAGATACAAGCAATACGTTAATACGAATGGAGGATGAACAAGAAAAAAACGAATGAAGGACGGGTGAAGAGACCTTTGGGTGGGAGGGCTGAGCCGGTGAGGAAGGGGTGGATGGACGGTGGCGACGCCCTCCCGTCGCCTTCGGGCGAATGTACGAGTAGCGTAAGAGCGTCTGTTTGTCCCGTCTGCCGTCTGACTGGTAGGTGATGGGGTGTAGAGAGAGGAGAGACGGGATATATGGTGTAACGAGTGTGAGAGGGAGGACAAGGAAAAGGAAAGATAGGACGAAGTTAGTGTGTGGTTTTGGTTCGCTCCCTTGGGCCCTCAGCCTCGCCTTTGATGGGTGAATCCCGTACGAGTGGAATCCCTTCTTTTCGTAGCAAATTCTACGATCTGCGACATCTCTCCTATGTTCACTTCGGCCCCCCAGGCTCTTTTCAACAGCTTCTTCAAATGATAATCAGTTCATACTCTATACATCACGTCAACCCTGCAGCATGACATTCACATGTGCGCGAGTATCATACGGTACAAAATAGACAGGTGTATAGCATGCAAGCACACATTGTGCACGGAGATATCACAGATCCAGCCACATCCGACTCTCTTCGGCCATCGGACCAATGGCCGACCATTGACAGACAAACCCCATGCTATCTCATGCTCGAGCTGGATAGAATGACATAATCTCCTCGTATCTAATATGATCAGTGCTCAAAACCCTCTACCGTGCTGAAACAAAAACTCACAGAAGTCTCTTCAGTTCCTCTCTCCCGATCTCTTCCTTCTGCAGGTCAAATTCGAAGAAGCTCGGTTCCAAAGGTTTGGCGGATGGCTCATCCTCCGGGTCATGGTACGCCTCTAGATAAGGGTGTTCTAAACATTGTTCGACCGTGTATCTCTTCCGGGGGTCGACTGATCGTTAGTGACTCGGGACTGGCCCCTGCGATTGACATTACTCACAGGTCAGGGTTTTGGTCAAAAAGTCAATGGCCAAGGGACTGGCATTTGGATACAACGACTGAAATGTCTTCCTCTTGCGGAATCTAACACTCAGCGATCTGACCAGGAAGGCAAAACTCGTGCAACTCACGGCAGGCCACGGAGATAGTCCTTCGAACGCTTGGAAGTGATAGCATGAAATTCGTCAATGCTGGGAGTACCAAGGACGTCAAGAATCAAAGCAAGTTGGTGATGGCTAGGCGTCAGTATCTCTCTGGCCACTAAAACTGAATAGCTCACTAGTCTTTGCCAGGGAACAAAGGCTTCCCACTGAGCATCTCCGCCAGGATGCATCCGATCGACCATACATCTATCATCTGTCACCGTTAGCATCGGACCGATGGCCATAGGAATGAGCTTGCCTTTGTGTACATCCGGAAAGACAACATGACTTCCGGAGCTCTGTACCACCGTGTGGCTACGTCTTTTGGTCAGTAGCAGCCTTTCGTATCTCGTGCTGATCACCTACATTCGGTCATCAACCCGTTGTTATTGGCCTCCGATGGGAAAACGGTCTGAGTGCTCCTGGCCAACCCAAAATCGCACACCTTGAGGTCGCAGTTGGCATTAAGTAGCAGATTAGACGGTTTGAGATCGCGGTGAATAACTACGGGGGTCAATCAACTTTTCCCACCTGCTGACAAATAGCAGACGTACTTTCGGCAGAGTGCAAGGCCTTCATGGCTCGACAAGTTTGATAAAGGAAGTATTGACAATGGTCGTCGCTTAAATCTTGAGTCCGGATGACACGATGAAGATCCGTCTCCAACAATTCTTGCACTAGGTACACTGATTGATCAGATACATTTCAGCGACATGATGGGACGAATCACCCTCTTTGAACAACTCATAACTCGGGGGTTTGACAATGTCCAGTACAGAGATTATCTGCTAGTCAGCGGGAGACGAGGCAGCAACGGACGAATTCTCACATTCTCGCTGAGACCTTCCTTGGCAAAATGCTTCAAGAGCTTTAGTTCTCTCAATGTCCGCAAAGCGAACATGGCATGGTCAAAGGGAACAATCTTTTTGATGGCCACCTTTTGCCCAGAAGGGCGATGCACAGCTGAGACGACGACACCGTATGCGCCTTCACCGATGACATCGAGTATCTGATATGTGCTACCTGGTAGTGTGAGTTGTCGTCAAGCTGCCTTGAGTGGACTGGGAGAACTCACCAACATTGAACCTCACTTTGCGAGGTGGAGTGCCCCTGGTGTGGAATACCTCTTGGTTGGGTTTACTCTCCCTGGGTTGCTCTTGTGCCGGTACTCCCATTTCGAACTTGTTGACGGGCCAGGGAGATGTCGATCTGAGAAAAAGAGGTGAATGATGTGAAGAGACTGAGATGCTGACCGGCAGGCAAATGAAATACGATGTGGAGTATTAGTCGGTTTCGAACAAAGATATAAATCGAGTGGTAGGATCAAGGAAGACGGATTCGATGGCTCCCTCACCTTTGATGTATATCCCTCTAGGAAGGGGTTTTGAATTCTACGAGGTTTGCACGAGCGTGTCAAAGCCCCCACTTTCCTTTGCGACTCGGGCAGAGAAGAAAGGTAGACTTATTGGGATGGGAGAGGAATTGGATGGGAGAGAGCGAAGGGAGAGATGACAAGGATAGAACGAGGAGAGAGGACAAAGGAGAAAAAGACGAGTCAAAGGTGGTTCCGGCGGGCAGGAGACCGAATTTGAGCGATATCAGTAGTGTAGAAAGGGGGGTTTGGACGTTTGGAGGTGATGGGGTGGAGAGTGAGATCTATAGAGTTGATGAGGCTAGCTCTGATATGTATATGATATAAAGGTAGTAGATGAGTACTTGTACGAGTAGCTGTTCAAGATATGATGATTTAGTATACGTGGATTAGCTGTTGTTAGGGCTCAGAAGGGCTTTTGCGATGGGGGGAAAAGTTAAAACACTCTGACACACTCGATTTGACGCTCGGACCACGACCGCATTCCATCGCACGGCGCACCCCCTCGTGACGCGTTTCATCCTCAAAGAGCTTTGCGCCGGGTACTGGGGTTATTAAGCATTGCGACGTGGTCGTGAAGATGATGATGATGATGATGATGTGAGTGACAGTCGTAGCTAAAATGTTGACAACGACGACGAGGACGACAACGAAGATGCAAGCCACTACAACAGACCATGGTACAAGAACAAGGTTTGGCCGACACGCCACACGCGGTTGACCGACGGTACGGCTTGCACGGATGGAGCCGATGGCCTCCGATGGCCGACATGCGCGCCAGCCATGGGGTGGTGACTGACTGATTGCTTATCTCCACACTCGCCCCACTCGGTCACTCGCTAAATTACTAATTGCTAAGCTCCATTATAATAAATGTTACTACAAGTAGTTTACTCCTCCCTCACTCACTCCTTGATCTAACTCTTGTTCACCTTCGTAGCTCACCTCTCCTATACGCCTCCACCTCTCACTTGCCTCATCATGGACTCTTCTTTCGCCATCCCCTCTAAGGGCTCCATAGGCTCCGATGGCAAGCCTGTCCAAATCATCACCAACTCGTCCGCATCGAAACCTTCCGAGCTTCCCAACGCTATTGATCTCAGCCATCATCTCACCGAGCTCTCGAAACATCGTGCCGCAAGCTCCTTGAAGGAGCTGTACCGTTATATGGCAGTGCCTCATATGATCACCATGGCTGGAGGTGAGTCGTATCTTGATCACCTGACCATTCGACGCTCATATCCACAGGTGTCCCCTCTCCTGAGCTCTACCCTTTCGAGACTATTTCCGCTTCTCTTCTCACCCATGACGCCTTCCCCCTCGACTATCCCAGAGTGCCCCAGAAACCCAAGAAGTCTTTCTTTTCTTGGCTCTTCCCCTCTTTCAAACCGACCACCGACATCTCTATCCCCAAGTATGTGGAGAGCGCAGACGCCAGCACCATTCAGCTCTCCACGTACCTTCAGTATCAACCGGCCACCGGTCTCCCTGCCGTCCCTCTATTCCTCCGCAAGTATGTCGAGCTGGTGTATCAACCCGCGTACGCTGATTGGGACGTCCTTCTCAACTGTGGAGCCACGGATGCGTGGAACAAGGTAGTCCTCATGCTCGTCGAAAAAGGTGACCCTATCCTTGTCGAGGAGTGGACCTATCCTGGTGCTAGTAACTCTTACAGTCCACTCGAAACTGTCAAAATTGCATTGAAGATGGATGGCGAAGGCATCATTCCCGACTACATGGATAAACTGTTGGGAAATTGGGATGAAACGGCAAGGGGTATGAAGCGTCCTCACGTCCTCTACACCGTTCCCACGGGACAAAATCCCACCGGCGCAACGATGGGAGCAGATCGCAAAAAGGCCATCTACGACTTATGCTGCAAATACGGCAAGTCATGTTCTTTCCTTAACGAGCTAACTGAGCTGATCGCTCAGACGTCATCATTTGCGAGGATGAGCCGTATTACTGCTTGGTAAATTTTTCATTCTCAGCCAATGGTCCCTACTGACTACTCCAGTTTACGGGCAAATGGACACCCAAGAAACTCGCCGCGGAGAAATCCATCATGGCTCAACGCACGGAGCAGGCAGAGAAGCAGGACGGCAAGGAGGGAAACGAGGCTTTCCTCAAGGCACTCCCCCCGTCTTTCCTCAAGTTCGACACCCAAGGCCGTGTCATTCGTATGGATACCTTCTCCAAGACGAGTTGTCCTGGCTCTCGACTCGGATGGATCACCACCTCGCCACTTTTCATCGAGAGGCTTACACGTGCCACTGAAGGATCATCTCAAAGTCCCAGCGGTTTCGCCACAGCGTTGACCGGTAAAATGCTGTCCGAATGGGGTATGGAAGGTTATATCCGCTGGCTTCGAGGCATCAAAGCCATGTATAAGATGCGTCGTGACTGGATGTGCGATGCTTTCGAGAACGTCTTTCACCTCGAAATCGACGATGCACCCAACGGTGTCAAGACCAATGACGTCGTGTTCGACATTTTCGACGGTACAGCGCGAGGAGTGACTTGTTATGCCAAGCCCACCGATGATACCGCTGCGGGACGATGGGATGAGAAGAAGGGTTTCTCCAGCAAGCACGGTTTACCACTTGTTTCCTTCATTCCTCCTACGGGTACGTGAAATGTCCACTTGATGGACTGTTGCTGATCCGTAGCTGGCATGTTCATCTTCCTCGCTATCCACATGGAAGGCCATCCTGATTACAAGGCTTTATTGCAGAAGGGCGAGAATGCCGTGGAGGTGCTCATGACCAAACTCTGGTTGGAGCTCGCGGAAAACTTAGTGCGTTGATACTCAATCTTCCAACGTGAACTAGGGCATATGCTGATACCTCAGGTCCTATTCGCGCCAGCCACGTCTTTCGACGCCAATGGCGTACATGGAATCGGAGGGGAAGGGATCGGTTATTTCCGCTTGTCATACTCGATTGCGACTTACGAAGAGACCAACCGGGCCATCTCCACTTTTGCCAAAATTTTGACCAAATTCTTTCGCGCCTAGAGAGTAGAGCAAGAGATGTTTGTACATTGCTGAACGATCTGACCTGTGATAGAAGGGATATCAGACTGATTTGTAGATTGGTTGTATGCAGACCCGTGACTGATGAAGACGGTGCATGGTGTAAGTGTGAAACCTACGAAAACTGATACTATCGGAACAGATCACTCTACTGGTGGTCAATTAGCGCACAGACCTCGTCGTACTCGTCATCGTGTACCATGTACCGCCCATGGTCCATGGCTTAGTTACCTGCTGAGCACACATCTCTTTGCTCTCTTCTCCTATCTCATTGTTGCCCATCGTTCCTTCTCTCACTCTTGACCTCCTCTTCACTCCAATGTCCGCCGCAGATAATGACATGAGGTGTAACAACCTCAAATGTCGGACCCTGGTGGGTCAACATGGTAAAGGTGTCGTCACAACCTGCTCCCGTGAGTTCTCCTTCGGCGTATGTTCCTTGACAATGAAGCTAAACGAAAAGACCTCTTCTGCAGTGAGTTATACCGATGTCAATGGAGCAGCGGTGTGATATCCAGTCCCATGTGCTAATCAGTTGTTCTCGAGAAACCAAATTTGTCCCGCTTGCGATAATCAGCTATCTGAGCCGTATATCCTTCTCACTTCCTTGTTGGCGACTATTGACCTATAGAGATGACATTGTGGTGGCCTGCCTGAACCCTTCGACGGATTACAAGAGCGCAAGTATCTCCTCCTGACCTGTTGGTCATGATACTGACCTGTGGTCAATCTTGGCAGGTCTTACACCTTCTTTGATCTTGGAAATCGCGGCAAGGTGGGTGACAACCATGATTATGTATCGACTGATACTTAGAGGTATGTCATTTTGGACATATCAGACGTCACAAGAGAGGTCAGTCCTCCCGTAGCGTTGTCAGGAAGAGAACTGAGAAGAAAGCGAGTTCCAAACGTTGGTCCTGAAGAATGCTCAAACACGTCTTGCTCAATTGGAACAACAGGTAAATACAGGTGAGTTGGTGAGTTTCTATTACGATCATCAGATGCTGACACTTACAAGTCAATGGGGAATTGCAGAGTAAGTCAAGAAACAAAAGAGTGATATTGAAGGAACAGTCGCCAATACCAGAATTGCCAGTGAGTCTTTCTACAATTAAAATCTGTGAATTTGGTGTTGATGCTCAGATCTCGAAGGTGAATTGGAAACCGTCAATCGACAAAAGCAAGATCTGATCAATGAAGTGAGGGAGAAGGATAGAGAGATGAATCGTTTAAGAGGAACATACGACAAAGTACGCTATCTGCCTGTAAGTGGAATACTAGCTTACGGAAACAGATGAAACGTCGTGCCATTCTTGGATCCGCAGCACAGGCAGCCGATATCGCCAACGGACAAGCTCAACATGCAGGATTAACTACTCGATCTCCTATTGTTTCCAATCATGTGGCTCAGGTGAGCAATGCTCAACATAGATGAGGATGAGGTTGAAGATTTTGAACAATGGAAATCATCCTCAACCTTTCGTACCTACTCCTCCAGGAGGACACGATAGCAGGATACCAAAATACGTTCCATCGAATGGAAACAAAGGTCGAAGTGTTTCCAACCCGACTTGCTTCCAAGCCACGACTGCACCATTGACGAATAATCCTTCTGTGTGTGCGGCGTTGTCCAGAGTCACTTTGGGTGGACTTGGGAGTGAAAGAAGTGGTAGTGGGATTGGCGGGTTTGGGAAAGGGAAACAGAGGCAGTTTTAGGAATCACACTTTTGAATTTTACATGTAGCGCGTAGCGATTGGTTGTTATTTCTGTACATCCACCCGACTTGCGGACCGGGGCTCCGCGTTCGATCGCATGATCATGGCCGGGGTCAAACTCGTTTCGCCCGAGTACGAGTAGCATGACGCTCTACGCTCTACTCGTACGCTGACGTATCCTCCCCTCCTCCTATGCTTCTTGTTCATACACCGGCCAACTAGCTACCAGATTACACCTTGCAACCCAAACATGGTAGCGACCGTCCTGACTAAAGATGGTAAACCCATGTATCAAATCCCCATTTCTCAACGTCCTTCCCATGGTCCATTATACAGTAAAATATTCTTTCCACTTCTCTTCTGTCTAGGGCAATTATTTATCAACACTACTCAATTTTTATGTCTACCTCTACTGCTCGTACCTGTGGTAGGGAGGAGATCGTTTGATTCAGCTATCGGCTGGACCAAAGATGGTTATGGAAGATTATGTGAGTTCCACCTATTTTTTTTCATTTCTCCTTACCTGATCCTACCGTCCACGGTCTAAAGCTTTGCAGAAAAGAATGATACGAGTGAAAAGGAAAAACAGATCACACATGATTTGGACAAAGCTCATGTTCATAGTGATAGCTATTACATGTCTATTCGCACCACATTCCATCATACTCACTACCGATTCACCACCATCACTCACCGACTTGGTGGAACGTGATGAAAATGGTCGAATGACGAAAATCAATTTACCAGATAGACTAGTGATCATGTCGAATCATCAAGCGTATTCCGATTGGATGTATTTATGGATTCTAGCTTGTTATTCTGGTCATGCTAAGGGTATTATTATTTTATTGAAGATAAGTTTGAAAAAGTTACCTGTGGTGGGATGGGGAATGGTGAGTTATTATTAATCTTTCTTTTCTTCTTAACTTTACTCCTTCATCTCATCATTTCCTTTTCTTTCTTCAATCTCTTAATCTCCCTTAACATTTCCCTCACTCTTCATGAATTTCATCTCTTCTTCTTCAAGCGTTTCATTACCTTACTCATACATTCACAACACCTCCCAAAGATTAGGACATATATCACGGATATCAGTTGTTCATATTGTAAACTATGATCAAAACGTTTTTTTTTCTAAACCACATAGCAATTCTTCAACTTTATATTCATGCGTCGATCTTGGATTGCGGACAAAACAAATCTCACAAAAGCTTTACTCGATCTAGGTCGTAAATCTCAATCCAAAATTGAAAAATACCCTTCAGATAAATCTTCTTTACTTTCCAATTCCAGTCGAGCACCATTATGGTTGATAATCTTCCCTGAAGGAACGATAACTTCAGACGAAGAAGGTATAAAATCAAAACGTTATGCCGATAAAGAAAATATAGAAGATTTTGAAACTTTGTTGTTACCACGTTCCACAGGTCTTTTATTCTCTTTAAGAACTTTATTACCTCAAATACCAGATTTAAAACTTATGGACGTAACTATTGGATATCCAGGTGTGAAAATCGGTGAATATCCTCAAAATCATTATGGTCTTTTAAGTATTTTTTTAAATTCAATACCACCACCTTGTATACATATACATTTACATATCTACGATCAATTATCTTCTCTTACTTCTGGAATACCTTCTTTGGTTCCTACTTCTTCAACTGGTGAAGTGACTTCTGAAATAGGTTTGGCAAGTCCTGAAGAGGCCAAGGAGTTTGAACTTTGGTTAAGAGGAGTGTGGAGGGAAAAGGAAGAACGTATGAAGAGGTTTTATAAGGATCAAAGATTTTATTCTCAAGAAGGAGGGGAAGATGCAAGAGAGGTCATACCTATTAATCAAACGTAAGTTAGAACTGCGGTACATAGGTTTGGAGCTGATCAGATAGAAATTGGTGGCATTGGATAGGTGCTGCAGGTGGAGGAGGTATAGGTACCGTCGCATTGTTAAGTTGGGTGATATGGCGCATGATAAAATAATCATTGTGATTTTTATCACGCATCCGGGTTTTGTTAGAAGAGAGCAGATAGAATGGGTAAGATAGAAGAGGACAGACATTCTTGTACAAGTTACAAGTTACATGTTGCATGTTATCGTTCTTGTACAAGTCACATGTTGCATGTTATCATTCTTGTTGGCAAAAGACATGGGAATAAGAACAGGAGTGGTACTGTACATGGTACATACTTGAGAGACAATTCACAATCAACATGAACGAAATGAATGAAGTAACGTAAACAAGGAGCATGGGTAGACATATGAATTTTCAAGAAGTGAGAAGGGTGGTAGGTTACATTGATACATGAGACGAGTAAGGAAAAGAGGGCAGCAGGGCAGTGGGGCAGGATCATTGTGTCAAAGATGAAAGGATATAGTCGGTTTATGATTCCAGACAATCGAGAGGGTATGAAACAGAGGATACAGACTTGTCTTTTTACTTCTTCCCCCTGGCCCATCGCCATGACTCGAAAGCTCCTTCTGCGGGACTACTACTCGTCGAACTACTTGCTCTCCTACGTCGGGCAACACTGGTAGGATCAAGATTCCAAGTTTGATCCCCTACATGATTGACTTGTTTGTTCATGTCGAGCAAATCGGCAGGAGCGAATTGAGTGTTGTACGCTCTGGCGAGACAGGAAAGAATGTCAACGGTAGATACGACATAATGAGCGGAAAGTTGAGTTGGAGGAGGAATCGGAAGACCTGGAAAGGGTACAAAGCGAGAGTCTGAGAGTGAAAGAGTTGAAAGGGAAGGAGATGATATTGGAGATGAAAAAGTTGCTGAAAAAGTTGGACTTGGTGAAAGAGGTGGAGTAGTAACGTTTGGGATGAAAACTCGAGAAGAAGCAGTAGCTAGTATGAGATGTGAGGTATGTAATAAAGTCGCTGAAAAAGAAATCGTGTGAACTACAGAGTTATCAGCTCATTTCGAATATGATAGAAAGGAATTACTAACCTGGTACTTTATCTTCACCTCTTTCTAAACCCGCATTTTCTTTCACTTGAATTTTCTTGACTAATTGTTCCAATCCCATTCCTAAAACCTTTTTACCTTCAGAGGGAATGACTAATCTCGTGCAATCTTCAACACTGATGACGCTTAGTAAATCCCCAGGACAGCCTGAATCGATAGGAGATAAATGTTCAGGAGAAGCAGGAACGAGCATCGGAGATGTTGATAGTGAGATAGAACTTGATCGAGATATTCCACCAGATGAAGGATTGGAAGAAAAACTATCTCTTCTTGTATTCCCATTACCCGACCCGGACAACACTCCCAAAGCCGCCAAACCGTTAAGACTCATCACTTGCATTGCGTCGAGCACTGAGGCGGTTCCCGGTAATGAAATCAAAGGCTGTAGGGCGAGATGAAGAGAAGAAGAAGATACTGGAAGATTTAATATGGAAGGTGTCTGAGAAGAAGTGAGGTATTTTAATATCATCGTGTCATCTAATATCCATGGTGTCTCTTTATCCATGACGATGGCAATTCGATGTAAACCAGAAGCGAATAATGGTAAAAGGTTCCGAAGGATTGTGTCAGGTGAGAATGAGTGATATGGATTCTTTTGAGAGATATCTGATTATTAATCACTGCAGTTCATATAAGGATGAGGAATGAGGAAAGGAAAAAAAAAGTTACCGCAGACTGCACCAACACCAAGTTTTGTACCACGTCGTAGGGATTGTACGATGTCTCTACTTCTTTCATCCAAATAACTCTCTCCCTCATCAAAAGGAGAATCCGGAATGTTTTGATCTCTGACTGAAGTAGATGATGTGACACCTCTTTGAGGTGCAGGACTACGAGAGTGTGAATTCGCAGAAGCTTGAAGGACGAGTAATAAAAACGTGTTCAAGTCGGAATACTTTCTCGTCAGCCTCAGATTTCATCTTGAAGAGTAAAGTTGGAAACTCACATCGAAGAATGCATACTGTTCAGGATTTATCTCCACCAATAAACATTTACAGTCTTTCTGTAACAAAACCTATCATCAGTGATGCCAAAGGATTAAATAGAAGTATCGACATACCTCTACAGCTTCTTCCATTCCCATATTCCCAGGTACCTTCCTTACTTCTTGTTTCACCAATAATTGTTCAGCGGTGACTTGTAACCACTCAATGTCCTCAGGTGGAGAAGGTGTATCAATTTCTGCAGTCTTATGAACAGATCTACTGCGTGTGACATTTGCTCCTTGAGGGAAATTGGACGTAGTGGGTAATGACGTCGAATATGATGAACCAAAGAGAGAGTTACTGAGACTACCAGAAGAGCTTGATCCTCTTGCATGTCGTCCAGGTCGAGGATAGGCATTGTTGTCTGTAGAAAACTTAGATTGGTGACCTATCGAACCATGACGATTGGGTAGTGGGAGACTGCGAGGAGAGGTGGAAAGAAGTAGAGGAGAGGCGGTCATGGATGGTCGTCTGAGTAATGAAGGTGTTGAAGGGTTCGAGGATGAGGATAGAGAAGAAGACTCTGCTTGTCTCGGAGAAGGTACAGTAGAGTCGTTCATGTTGAAGTAGAGAGGGAGTGGTATAATGAAGAGAGCCAAGAACAAGTTGCACAAGGATGTATATGAGATTGTCTTGGCTTTCAGAGAGTGATAGTGATAGTGTTATTCCGAGGTTTGAAGAGTTCTCTTCCTTTGAGTACGAACCACACCTTTCACTCCCTAAGTCTATCTGACTTTGGGTCTCGTAGTCTCCAATCCAAAGTCCCCGCACTGCGTACCGACGATTGGAATGAAGGTGGGTGATAAGGTGAACAAGCACTGAAACCAATGACAATGGTCCGAGGCTATCGTATCTGCCTGCCCCACCTCCACTCGGCCAGGAACCAAACTACCGGTGAGCTTAGCTTGCACCTTGTCCAATAAAAGGTATAATGATTCATGTTCAATGCATACATCCCCCTCCTCCTCCTCCTTTCCATCCCTATGCCGTCACTCCAGCCACAGCCCCGACGACCTCTTTACCTTCCCAAAATCGAGGTAGCTCATTACCGGGGATGAAATGACGTTGCACCTTGTCCTTGGTTATAACGCACATTCTGATACACCCTCCTGAAGATCCATCTCTCGACATGGCCAATGCCAGTGCTTAGATATGTCAGCTTGGCATCGATCAAGACTCTATTCTACTCACTGTTCTTTACAAATTGAACAGTCTCCTCCTCATTCCAACCATCCTGATATGTGGCGTCACAATATCCATACACATATGTTGAGCCAGAACCTGTGACGAGTCAATTATGGATTCACCTGTGGTTCAAATATCGCTCACCTCCTATTGCCCATGGTTGTTGGAACATACCTCCACCTAGAGGAATGTTATACACTGAACCACCAGCTTCGGCATCCCAACCCGCGACGATGATCCCTGCGCTGAGCTGATCTTTATTGGTGTAACATAGCTTTTCAAACATAGAAGTGACCGTGGCGACTGGTGGAGGGGTACCGTAGAGGGAAGAATAGATCTGACAATGTTGGTGAACGATGTCAGCGACCGCTTGCGTGTCGGCAGCTGAACCGGATCGACAGCAATAGACGCGATCGTGGATGTGAGTGAGCTTGTCAGTCACTCGATTGGCCTGAGATGTTAGCAAGAATGTCCGAACGAGAGAAGAGTGAGTACTCACAATGTATGCTCCAGTGGTTGTCCGACTGTCTGCACCTATGACGACCCCTCCTTCAAACTTGACGGCCATGATGGATGTCTATACGTGAGCATGAGCTGCCACAAGTTGGCTGAAGGGGCAAACATGATGAGACTCACCCCCAGATTGACTTCCCCATTCTTGAGATGTTTGATATCGACCGAGTTAATGTTGGTCATGTTGTGGGAGATGAGAAGGAAGAGGAGTGAGCAGGGTGGGCTTGAGATATAGGGAGACAGACATTCCACAGGCCACAGGTCTAAGGTGAGCCGCGTAAGTGATCGAAGCATGATCACACGTGTCATTACATGACCTTTGCTTATCACACCAACACAATGGGTCTTGTCTCAGTGGTGGTGATGATCCAGACTTGAGTGTTTTCATATACAGAGCAAGTAGAAGTAATCGCATTAACAACCCCGATCCGTCTTATAACTCTACCAAGCATGCTACATTAGGAAAACAGTTTGTCAGTATCTTTTACATCTCCAGACCACGGTGGAACACGTTCTCCAAAACCCGGAACTTCCCCGTACCTTTGGAACTCCTATTCGTCACGTCATAACCCTATCCATCACCCATCTCCATCCTCACCTTCTTCTTTCCATTCCACACCTAGCGACAACTCCCCTCTTCACCTTTTACTCTAATAACGGATTATCTATCATCCAATATATTGGCCCCCCTTCCTGCTCGTCATGTCGGCATTGCTTGCCGCCGCCCAGGGACCGAGCAAGGCATACGTCCCTTTACCCGATGACATTTCCCCTCCAGCTTCCTACGCCAATCTCGCCCCCGTTCACGCCGTCACTCGTAACGGTACAGTCGTCTATACGAAACGCGTATCCAGTGTCACCTCCTCTGGCTCGGGCGATTCCGATGATAGCGGCAGCGTCAGAACCGAACGACATGAGAATCGTTCCGGGACGACCTTCCAATCAGGTAGCGAAGAGACCCTCGCCGCACCTGGATCTTCTCGCAAGGGCAAGGAAAAAGCCAATGGGAACTTACATGAGGATGGAGATCTCGGCCACTACACTTGGGAAGCTAAAGGAAAAGGTAAAGAAACATGGGATGTTGAGAAGGGACCAGTGGAATATATCGAGATGGTCGATGGAAGCGAGACGGGAAGTTATCCTCCCGTGAGTGGGGAAGTAGAAGAAGAGCGACGTATACAAGAGGTAAGTTTTATCATGTTTTCTCATGAGTTATTAGAAGAAGATGTTGGCTGACGGCTCAGAATCTCGCCAACTTTGCGGCTCGAGATATGGCGCGTCGGCGAGCTGCTAGATTGTCTCGACAATTACCATCCTCCCCTCCATCTTCTCCAAAACCTAATGGTACCACTACCTCATATTTACAGCGTCCTCTGTCTATAATATCGTCCATCACATCCGGTAGTCAGAACACTAGCGGTAAGCGTAACAGTCTCATGGGGTTGATGGAGGGTATAGGAATCGTCAATCCTGTCAAAGGCAAGGGCGACGCCGAGTGGGGCGCTACACATAATCCCGTACGTCCCTCTCGACGGTGCTTCTCTTACAACCCACTTACGAAAATCAACACTGGGTTGGAGACATGAGCTGAAGGTTGCAGATACCCCTGACCACCTCCCCTCGTGAATCCACTTCGACAGAATATCAACATCCTTATGCCAAACCCGCATCTCCCATACCTCGAATGGTGATCTCCCCTGTTTCACCAACGGAATCTCCTTTTGACGATCCACGCCCCGTACCCCTGCCTTCTTCGTCTACTCAACGACGTGGATCCATCAACGTTGATTCCTCCAAAACCTCTGCCCCTCTTGACACCGACGTCGTGGGATACGCCGGTCCGTCATGGAGAGGCGGGGCAGCGATTCAGGATCAGGGGGTAGCTCAAGATGTGCAAGACGTGAATGTCGGGACGGGCGAAAAGTGGTGGCATGCGTTGTGCTCATGGGGTTCCGATGTGGACGGCGGGCATGGGAACGATCAATTAGGGGGACAAGCTGGACGAACGAATCCATTCGAGTGAACCACTCTGTCAGCGGCTAGAACTTTGAGGAGAGCATTATAACGATGAGACACGACCAAGACATAATGCATAGGTCGAGTGTTCCGATGTAGAGTACATACTGCATACTTGTACAGCCCGATGAAACCTCATGCATCAATTCAATACAAGTACAGGCCAGAAAGTGCCACAATTCGTCCAAAGGCGAATCTCCGGTTCCTCCATCCTTCTTTCCCTCCCCACGTCACCGCAATGCATAAGCATCAAACATCCTCGTTCAACTTGGACAGCAGTTGACGTCTCTTCACTCATCTCTTCTTCACTGTGCGTCGACAAGGGTGCCAGTGGTAGTGGACCCTCCCTCCATCATCACCAACCGGGGATTGTTGTTGTGCCCTGAAAGCGGGGCTCTGTCAAAGTCAAAAGATAACGTTGGGTTATACGCGCGCCGCGTCTCAAAGTCATTCCCATTTCGCTATTCTCTGCCAGGTGACATACCTTCTCTCGGTCCTAGTAGCTAGTAGCTAGCTCCAAAGACCCCTGCTCGTCAATTGTCAACCTGCATCTCCCGACGTACCGACATCCTGCTCCATCACCAAGCTTTCTCTCTAAACACTGCCCTTCCCTGCCTTTGTTCCCCACCCACCCGTTCATCACCCATACCAACCCATCTCCTTCCGACCTGCTCCTGCCACTATTGCTTTCGGCCTGAGTAGTGAGTCGGGCGACACCCCCGCTACCTCTTCCTACAACCAACGTCCTGTCACGACCCTTTCCTGTACTCCAGATACCCCACACCCCTGCCTCTTCCTTGACCATGGCTCGGGACACACGAAGCAGCAAGGAAGCAAATGGTGAGCATTTCGTCTCCTCCAAATTTTCCAAAACACTGACATTTGTAGTCGACCCCAACTCCCCGTCTTCCCCAAACAATAAACGGAAACGACGACAATCTCCTGCTCCTGTACCCGTGCCCACACCCCTGAAGATCAATCTTCATATCCCAAGTTCCTCTGGACCCAAGATTAAATTGACCCCACCCAAAGTCAATGGCTCAGGAGAAGTCAATGGAGATCATGAGCCGAAACGAGCGAGAATAAACTTGACCGTCAACGGCGAAAGAACCAGGAAAAGCCAGTCTCCCGTACCTGTGCTTGCACCTGTTTCCGGTCCGGACCAGAAGGGAGAGTCTGTCGAAGAAGATGTAGATCCAGTTCAAGATGACAAGATCGAGGTGAATCAAGAAGTGGAAGAGAGGGATGGTGTTGCCGCGTCAACGGTACAGGGTAGATCGTTAAGCCGAGAAATACGGGGAGCTCTGACGATCTTGATGGCTCAGTAAGTGTCCCCTCTCAGAACAGCATATGACGAGCTAATCTGGACAGAGCTGCAACACGTCTGCCTCCTCCGTTGAACGAAATCCTCACTTTGTGGCTACCACCGAAATTTGAGCAAAATGAAAAGAACACTCTCGGCTACATTCTGAAGCAGGACAACCTGACATGGGAGCGACTGGTTGTACGTCTTCTAATCACATATCCTCCTGTGATAACACATCGCTGACAGCAAGGATGTATTGCATGTCTTTTCTCACAACCTGTTGGCGCCTTGCGCTTATCCCAACCCAATGCCCTCAGTTAAAACCTTTCATCTTCCCATCCCACCCCTTCCCTCTCATCTTCCACCCCACAACATCTACAACTTCTGCGTCAGTCTGCGTACGATCATGAAGCAGGCCGAGCCACCTGGCGACATGAACGAGGAGAAAGCGGAAAGATGGGCATTGATGCAAAAGCTGCCCACGGGAAGTGGGAATGTAAATGGGGAGTGGTTCACTAGTAGTGTGGACATACGTCAAGTAGAAGCATTGTCAAAGAACCTCAATGAAGGGAAATTCGAAGAGATGGGGAGTTTGCTAGAACGACTCGCTTCAACTGGAACTCGCTTCGGTAAGTGACGACAGATGACATAAGGGGTTAGGCAGCTGATGAACCTAGGGCATGCGCAACCTGTGTCGTTGCAGAATGCCTTGCCTGCGAGTGGAAGTCAACCTCGTATCCCCACCCTGTCTGATTCACTAATCCGTCGCGCGAGTCTCAAAGCCAGTCGGTGGAAGGAACTTCGGCAACTGAGACGGCAAGGAGGATTCGGCAGTATCATGCGTCCAGTCACGGTACCTCCAACAACGAACGCGAACTTCACCCCCTCCTTCGCTCCAACCTTCGACTCAACATATTCCAGCGGATCGGGATATTGGGGAACATTAGAGGGTATGCACGCACGCCATCGTCATAGAGAATGGCGTGATAGAGTTACACATGGGAAAGGAGCTATGATAGAAGGGGGATATCACGGCACGATGGAAGCGGATGTTGAAGGTGATGAGATGGGCGGTCAACGAGCTGAAAGCAGTAGAAAGAGTAATCATTCTGGAAATGTGGAAGAGGTGTTGGAGGATAATGCGAGATTGCTCGCTGAATTACAAGCATGGCAAGAGATACGGATCAGACGTGGCCATCGCAAACCCACTCAGCGGGAAGAAGTTGTCGGTGAGTTCATGTCTTTTTATGTCACAGAGAAATTCGGGCTGATTGGTTCAGCTGAAGAAGTGCTCTCATCCCTCACTACACTTGCCAGTCACATTTCTCCCAAAGAGCTCTTACCCAAAGGCACATTTGATGGTCTGGCTCATGACCTGGGCGCTCGATTCGTACCCGTTTCAGCGCCTATCATCCGAGGTACACTCGACCCTAAACGTCCTCAGGCCTTACATGACAATGCTACCGTTCGTATGCGGTCTCACGTGTCACAGCCCCTTGGAAGCACGTCAATCGGTGGTATAAGCAGTTTGTCACCTCATCAACCTCCACCTCCTCGACCTGGACCTGGAGGTCAAATGTTACCACCTCCCATTCCTAGTAATTATATCACTCCCCCACCACATACATTACCTCATTCCAAATCCTCAACTCCGCAATATAAAACTCAACCGACCGCACCTCGTGTTTATTACACTGCCCCTTCTCCAGGTCAGAATGTGCAGACGACGAGTTTCCGACCACCGTCAAGCGGATCGACATATGGACGTCCTTCGCCGCCGGTCCCATCTCCCGCTCCGTCGTCCGCTCCGGTGTACCCGACTCGACCAGGACCGGGACCGTCAAGTCTCCGTCAGAGTTTTGGACCTGAAAATCCGGCACCTGTGGGATCTGTGTACATGACGCCGACACCGTTACCGCTGAGATCGGGAACAAGCACTATGATCTCACAACAGCAAATACGTCCTAACAGTACTCCGTCGAGATTAAGATGAAAAGTAGGGAGGATCTGTGTTTCAGTTTGTATGTTGTCCTTGGGTCAATGTTGGGATGCATCATGTCTTGTTCGGTACAGTGGATTGATGATATGGGGTCATTGAGTAAGCTACGTTGCATAGTACTGCACACTCCTTAGGCTCACTTTCAGGTGAGTGTGGGAGACAATTTCACGGAGATCAGGTGCGGAGCGGGGAGCGACGAGTGGCCGAGTGGGAACCAAGATAGCACCGCTTTTTCGGTTAGCGAGGTACACCGAGGTCCGAAGGAGCGGAGTAGCGAGTGAGTAGTACTTGGTTGATTAGCGAAGTGGTGAATGATGAGCGATGAGCGAGATGTGAGGTACCTTTCAAGCCGTTGGCATTGTTAAAAGATTCCCATGGCTATATAGACTGACCACATGCTTCTCCTTCACAACCCCTTGTCCATCTCCATCCCTCTGACAGGCACCCTCAATCTTTGAGCCTACTCTAGCTGTTCCTCTGTGATCTGTGGCCTCTGTGGCGGCTTGCCCCAATTGCCCCCCAAGGCCCAAGATCTCGGCACCGACTTAACCGAGGTTTTTGGTCCGTTTGTCCGCCGTGGCCGTCGCCGTACGTTCTCCCAGGCCACCCTGTTTCTTTCTCTCAACAGGTATTCATTCCGACTTCCTTTCTGCATCCTTTACACAAACCCCCGTTACCATCTCTCGTCGTCCCTGACCGAGGTTGACACACGCCGGACACAAACCACAAACGTACTACCTACCTACAGTACATACTTTAACCAGCAGGGGTACCATTCATTTCAATCTGATAAATCATGTCCGACTCGGAATCTCATCCTTCTCTTTTACCTCCTCATTCCCCCATCAGATCATATCACAGTCCTCCTCCTTCTTTCTCCCATGATCCTCTCACACCTAATACATCTTACGATCCACTAAGTTCCGCTAGACTCTCACGACAACAACCTACAACTCAAACGACAATTAAATCTCCACTCGGAATAATGTCCCATCCCTCTCAGATGGCACATACTAATATTATAGACACATCCTCGAATCAGACGGTTTTACCTCACGACGGCGGGCAAGGTGGTATTATTCATCATTCCCCTCAAGAAATCCATTCTTCTTTACCTCCCAGACGTAGTTCGGAAAACATCGAGAGTCCTGAAGGAAGGAAGAGGAGAAGAGCTGGGGTTACTGGAGAACCACAGAAAGATGAAGGAGGTAGAAGAACTGTGACTTTGGGTGTACCTGAGAAAAGTGGTCAAATATCAAAACTTAGTCCGAAACGTTCGACGTCAAATGTACATCATGGAGGTAACATACCAATGCTTACCAGTGAGTTTACGATCTGCTATAAAACTTGATCTTCATCATGATGTTTATGAGAATCGGTCAATGATGATGGGTTTGAAGATTGTAGCTGACTCATCAATAGGTTGTGAAGCTTGTAGGAAAGGCAAGTGAGTTGGATACAATTTTGCCCCCATACGAGGGTATAACAGGTAATGGAGAGATTTAACGCATGAGCTAATCAATGAGACGTCGATGTGAACCTTCTCCATTAGTACCACCCGACCATCCGGACGCAGCTAAATTACCTTGCGCAAGATGTCGTAGATTCGCTCTTGAATGTCACCGTGTACGTGTTACCCGTAGAAAAGGTCCAGCACCAGTGTACGTCCTCTCTCATGCTCTATCATTATCACACTCTTGCTGATGTCATTCAGGGATCTCAGGTGAGGGAGAAACCCCTCCATATCAATGATACTTAACTCGTGCTGATCACTCTCACAGCGCCTTGTCCGATGCAGCGTATGGTTTTCAAAATGGTTCTGGATCAGGTTCAAGCGATTTTCAACCTTCAACAGAAATATATCCTCGTCCACCTCTCCCTCTTGAACAATTACGTCGTGCCACAGTTGTTCAAGTACACGATCCCGCCATGTCAGGTATGCAGCAGGATTACCCACTTCCGCCTACTGGACCGTACGTGGTCTGTCATAACCAGGATAAGGGCTTACACTGACGATGTAGAGGTGGATACGCTACTTCACCTTCTTTCCCACTCTTGGTAGCTTCTCCAACCGTCTCGACATCTACTTTTCCCGATAATCTAGATCAAGTTGTTGCTGGCCCAGTCATTGATAACATCATCAACTTGTTCTTCGATTACGTCTACCCTCTCACACCATGTCTTCATCGACCGACTTTCGTCGCCAATCTCACAGCTAGAATGGACAAGACAGACCCGGTTTTCTTCGCTCTCACATTGACGGTAATAGCCAGTACTTTGGTACAGGTTCCTAGGAGTTTGGTAAATTTGGAAAAAACGGAAATTGAATCTTTAGCTCGTAGATGCGTACGTGTGGCCAAAGCGAAGATATCGTTTATATGGGAAGTAAGTTCTCTTTTCTGTATTTTCTCCCATCCTTTTTACCTGATTATGGCTGACTTGTAGGAACCTGTTCCTGTGCAAAGCTCATTTGGTACGTATGGAATTCCCATAAAGGTGAAGACTGATCAACTGACAAACAGTGGTTATTTCGTATCTGGAGGGTATTGTCCATCTGCTGCTAGGAAACAATACAGCGCATGTTGTCGCCACGGCTCAAGCCAATCAGTTGGCGTTGGCTATGCGACTGAACGAGGAGTCTGTGAGTTGATAATCGTGAAATCGTATGGTGGCCGTGTGACTGACCCGGGAAAGAGCTATGAAGGATTAGATCCGATCGAAAGTGAAATTCGTAGGAGAGCTTATTGGGTTTGTCTTCTTTACAAGGTAGTGGGAAAATTACTCATTCTCAGTTGCTATTCCAAGCCGATAAAAGTACTGCTTGCCTTCGTGCACGTACCATATGTCTCCGTTTGGACGACGCTCCTGGTTTAGCGTTACCGACAGAGGTGGACGATGAACAGATCACATCGACAGGTATCACGCCACAGCCCGTAGGACGGATACCGCTGATTGCGGGGTTCAACATTGTGACCAGTTTGTTCAAGTGAGCGTGTGGTTCTCGTCTACCTTCTCCCTCTCATCATCTGGAATTCTCTTATCTTTCTCACTTTCTTTTGACCTTCCCTACTGGTATCACCCCACTTTCCATCTTCTCCTCGGAGTGGTTTTCTCGTGTTTCCTGACTGATCACGTAGAATACTCAATGATGCTCTCCTGTTGCAGCGGAGAAAAGTTCCTCCAACTGTCGACAGCGTGCTGGCCGATTTGCAGCTCGTCAGTGAATTACGCAATAGCGCAATGAGAACAGCGCTCGATGTTGACTCGCCACTTCAATTGCGCAAGGCATATGATTCCAGAGTTGCCAGGTTGGTCTTTCTTCCACTTTCTATCCTCTTCCCGGTTCTTCCAATGTCCTGTATCCAACAGTTATGGAATGCTGATCAGTAGTCCGGCTCACGACTGGGAATCCAAGCTTCAAGAACGGTTCATGGACTTTTTCCACTCCGCGGGCGATACCAGTCATGCACTGAATAGTTTCCTTGTTATGCAGGTATGTCCCCTCCTCGATTCCTGCTGCTTATGCAAAGCTGAATGATCATAGGGTAATATCCTAGTCACTCAACATGTGGTCCGACTGGTTCTACTCCAAACCCGCCAGAGTCTATACCAGCAGTTATCCCTGCTTACCCAAGTACCCATGCAAGGTGTGGGAGGTCTGGGGAATGCCGAAACCTCTGAAGCAGCGGAAGACATAGCTTGCGAGCTGCTCGATGGACTTAACAGTCTACCGGTGGAGTGCGTAGCTACCAATGGACCTTCGCTCGTACAAAAAGGTCAGTCTCGGGAGGGATCCTTTTTGCCACTTGTTTTGGGAGGGATTGGTCGTTGATGCACAGTACGATTTGTCGCCATTCAACTGATGGAATGTGCCGTCACGCCTTCGTCTACCACTGCCAGGGCGTAAGTTGCACTCTCATGTTCTCACAGTCCACAGTCTTACGCCCTGCTCCACATTCCCCACTTTCGGCTTCTCGGGCTCGGCGATTTTGATAAAGTGTAATCGTGAGAATCGAGCTGACGACTCCCTGTAGACACAAACTGTTGATGCAGTTCCTGAGCGTGCTGGGTGTCATTGAAGGTACGTACGTTTCCCTCGTGATCGTTTCACCGAGCTTACGAATCTAACAGGTATGTATACATTCGGGCGAGACATATCTGCAGAGTGAGATGAAGATGAGGAGGGATTGTCGAGGCGGCCGGGCGGCGGGGCGGATCGGACGGATGAGGATCGAAGTCACCGCCTTGAAGTGGGATGTCTGCACTTTTATGAAAGATCTTTATGCCTTACGGACAATGTTTTTGAAGCAGTTGGTTTGGATGAATATCAAGGAATGTATCGTAGGGTGATGTGATGAAAAAAGTAGAGTTGTGCCCATATGGCGTCGAAGCTTTGTGTTAATGGCGATCACGTGAATCCGTCAGTCTGTGCTCACTCTCTTGGCTTTTCCCACACACATCTCACTCGAAACTCGAGTCAGCTCTCCTCCCCCACCGCGCCTCCCTTTCACTCCTCAGGCCCCGTTCATCACGATCACCGGTCAGCGGTCAGAGAACAGCGAACAGCCAACCCTACGTGACAGACTGAGATCTCCGTTTAGATGGGATACTCAGTACTGAGTCAGGGCTGTGCTAAACTGCTGTAGCGTATCCCACGGCCGTTGATCATGACGGCCGGATCAGATGGTTGACCTTCAAGACACCCTCGGCTAGCTATTCATGCTGTACATACCTCTTCATCATCGCTTACTCATATAGGACCTACACCCACCCGCAGTCACCAACGTCGTCTTTCTTTTCGCCCCAAGTTCAAATTCCCACAATATCCAAAGTTCCTTTCGGCCTTTCACTCTTTTGTCCACATTCACCGTTACCCGATAAAGGCCTTCTCCCCCTGATCGTCGTTTATTTTTCTCATCTTGTCAGTAACACGTATCCTCGGCTTCCCGCTCAATTCGGACTTCTTTCCCTATAATCCTTTTTCTACTTCTCGTCAAACCAACCATGTCTTTTCATTCACATAATCAACATTCATCTCAAAATCTTGATTACACAAACACAATGACCGACACACCTCTTTCAACTCCCATAACTACTGAATCTACGTTTGATAATGAGAAACCACCTGAACAAATTACAAGGACGACATATGGTCATGCCACTACGACTTTGAAAGCTGCAGCCGCTACTGAACATGGATTTACTCCCCTTCAAGCTATCCGAACATACTGGCGTGCTTTCGGTTGGTGCATGTGAGTTCATAATTTTCATTTGGATTTTGGAAATTGTTTTGTTGATGAATATGTTCATTTGTATCGGAGGTCTTTTATGGGGTTATGATGCTCAAATATCCGGTGGAACACTTTCCGTTCCTTATTTCAGAAGAGATTTTGGAGGGGTATACAACGACCAATTCGTCTTACCTGCTAGATGGCAAAGCGCTCTTAATTCTGTTTCTTCTATAGGAGGTATGTTTGCAGGACTCTCTATTGGTTGGGTTGCAGATCTTATTGGGTATGTCACCTTTTTTCAGATTTTGTTTCATCAAATAATCCTACCATCCATCATCCATTTTCACATCTCATCATCAAATGGTTATATCTACCCCGTCACCATCACTTTTAGAGCTTGAATCTCATGTCAATTTCACTGAAAATGTATACCACGCTCATACCATAGCCGTCGGGGATCAGTAGGATGCGCATGTCTCATTTCCATCTCAGCCGTATTCATACAATTCTTTACTCCTTCACATGTCAACGGTATGCTCCTAGCTGGAAAACTCATCAACGGTTTCGCTCTAGGCATGTTCGTCTCGACGGCTTCTTCCTATTGTTCAGAAATATCACCTTTGGCATTAAGAGGAATAACGACTGGTAGTGTAAACTTATGGATCGTCATTGGACAATTCCTTTCCAATTGCGTCATTGAAGGTACTGGAAAACGAACCGATTCGTACGCTTACCGAATACCTTTTGCCGTTCAATGGTTATTCCCACTCATCCTTCTCATAGGACTTCCTTTCGCTCCGGAATCACCTTGGTATCTCGTCCGTAGAGGTCGTGTGGATGCCGCGAGAAGAGTCATCGATCGTTTAGGTGGAGGTAACGTTGATGTGGAATTGATGGTCAATCAAATTCAAGAAACTATAGCTTTGGAAGATCGTGATAAGGCTTCTACAACTTACCTCGATTGTTTTAGAGGCACGAATCGTCAAAGGACTATTATCGCTTCCATGGTTTTCGTCCTTCAACAACTCAGTGGTGTCATCTTCGCCCTAGGATTTAGTAGTTATTTCTTTCAATTAGCTGGTTTTAGCGATTCGAATTCGTTTCGATTGGGAGTTGGAGTGACGGCTATTGGAGTCGTGGGGAATTTGGTTGCGTTGTTCACCGTGAATCAATTTGGAAGAAGAGGATTGTTTTTCTGGGGTATGATAGCTTGTTCCGTCGTCAATTTATTAGTCGCGTTTAGTTCTCTCGCACCGACATCATCAGGTAGATGGGCCTCTGCGTCTTTCGTGAGTCGTCCGTCATCTGATCAATTTCAACCAATCATACTTCTTCCTGACCACACTTTTGTGTGCATATTCATCGCTTCGTCTTCTTTCATGTTTATAAATCTACATATACGTAATGGAACGATGAGATTCTCGAGGGAGTGGTAGCATGAAGAATTGTTGCTGATGACAGACCATCATTTACAATTTCTGCTATCAAATCGGTATAGGTCCTCTTGGATATATAATCTTCGCAGAAGTCTCTTCTGCCAAAC